AGGTTTTGCTTTTTTAAGTTTTTAAGTGTTAGCATTAACACGTCACGTGACCATGTCGATGACGACTTACATTTATACAAACCTGCCAATAGAAGTTTTCACTTCAAAAATCGAGTATTAATAAAGATAGACTAGAAAATATTCTACTAAACGAAGAGGTTCAATCTCATTACTCAGCTAACGTATAAACATAATAGTTACTTTCAATATTCATAATAAGTAAAAGTCCACTGCCAGACAAATTCACTCTCGCTGTTGTAGTCCCATATTTTACAAGCCAAATTTTATATTAGCAAAATCCAAGCACTATCGGAAATCGAAGGCGATACATACGAAAATTACTGTAATAGAGACCCTATTGCATAAACATTAAAGTTTAATATCGATTACTTATCAAAAGAATCTACAATCAACACTTTGATCGAAAGCAAATTGGATATTCAAAAAGCGAACGCTTAAACAGGTAACGAAGTCGACTGAGTCTACAAATATTGGCGAATAAATGTTTTACCGCATATTACACGGAAGTTTCTTGGCTTTAGAAAATCACTTGTACAAGTAATTCGAAACTTTGTTATACGAGTATACGTGCTATCGACTCGAAGAATTTGCGCGAAATTCAAAATAGATTAGTTTTTACCATACTATTTAATGTAATTAGGTTTCTTGTTATCGATATTATTTTGGGAAAATATATTCGGAAAAAGTATTTTATTGTATAGTAGGCAGCACTGGTAATAATGTAATTAGGCTTCTTGTTATCGATATTATTTTGGGAAAATATATTCGGAAAGAGTATGTTATAGATATTATTTTGGGAAAATATATTCGGAAAAAGTATTAAAAATACACAACAAACCGAGAAAAAACGTTTTCACGCCAGATGGTAATTATTTATATGCAAGCAGTTATATCTAATCTATAACTCTGTAATTGCTTCTGCTAAATAAGGATAAAAAGACTCAGTACTAAAGGAAACTTAAATATGTCTTAATCACTATATAGTAAAAACAAAGTCGCTTCCCGCTGTCTGTCCCTATGTATGCTTAGATCTTTAAAACTAAAAAACGGATTTTGATGCGGTTTTTTTATAGAGTGATTCAAGAGGAAGGTTTATATGTATAATACATGTATATTATAGTACAGAATAACCGAGAAATTCAAAGATTTCTATTTCATACTAACCATTAAAACGTACTTAGGGACGAACCCGAGCGAAGCAAGGTTGAGTCGCTAGATTTAAAGAAGGCTAAATGTAATAAAATATAAGAAAAAGTTTTATTTAAATGTTTCCAACCTTTTGTATACAGTAAGTGCTCAAACGCAACTCGATCCTTTCATAATTGTTTCCGTAATATCCATTTCCTTTTTGAAAGTATTCTGTCTCTTTCCTACTCACAACAATATCCTGTCCTTGTCATGAGTTGACACTATTCTTGAGCGTAATTCAGACATGCTGTTTTAGTGAAAAGACGTCCTATACTCGAAACCTTTAGCATTATTTCTCTAAAGAAGAAGCAAAACCGCAGGCGTAAAATAACTAATGATGTAAATGGATAGATTTTATATAGAGTTATCGAAGATGCTATAAACCTTTCATTTTGTTGTTCAAATTGTATTGTATAGAGAATAAATGCGTGTAAACAAGCGCCTGGAGGCAGAAGATATCGAACAAAGCGAGCGCTGCATTGTCACCTAAACCGCGTTTATTATATTTTGTATAGTCAAACCATCTATTGTATATTAAATGAACTTCAATAGATATTTTTAAGGTTTCTATACCTACTGAAATACTAACTGAAGCGTCCGGCTTTACTAGAGCGTTATATATTACTAGCGACTCACGAAACAGTCTTATACGAGTATATGCTCAGTATTTACTCCAGTGTAACAAAACAGTGTAACCATGGGTCCGAAGTCAAATTGTCTTTAACAATCAAAGATAAGGTTAAAAAGTAAAGTTAAAAAGTAAAAATGTTCAAAAATTATATACAAAAAGTAAAAACCTATTGACAAATATACTTAGGTAAATGTTACTCTTTGAAGTCAGTCATAAAGTTTTATTTCAAACGGCTTAATATATCAAAGATGCTTGAACTAACCGATTTTAAAGTCTTCTAATTTTCCATTATGCATTTGTAACAATATATCAAATCTTTATTTATTGATATTAAGTTACTCGGTACGCGCGGTTACGCTCGCTATTATATCCATCCCGACTTGTAGTCAAATCGATTAGGTTGTTAGTGTGAAGACGTAATAAACACAAATTTTCGTATTTATAATATTTGTCCGTCGTTCGCGTGTACTTTACCCTGATAAATTAAAATACACGCATTGTACAGATACAAAATGTACGCGAATAGCACGAGTTGACAGCACGTTCTAACGTGCTAGCCTTCTAAGGCTGGGATTGTTTGAATCACCAGGAAAACAATGATAAATAATAAAGCGTACAGTTATTTAGATTTTGCTATCGTGCAAATAAAGACACTATAAGGCATTTATTTTTAAATCTCAAGTAAATATGAGACTTGTATGCAGTTTCACTAGGCTAAGAAGCGGTTATTTTTTAAGCGACTGCGACGAAACCCAAACGCGGGTCCAGCCCTATTTTCCCTCGTAGAACTCAAAATGGTGGATCTAAGGCGCCTATTTGTGTCGAATTTTTTTTTCCTTCCAAACCTATCGAGTGCGGTATCAAAATTAAAGTATTGAAGAGGTGACCATAAAAATAAAAGTAACTTATATGTTTAAATGGTTTTTAATGTACTTTTTTTATTATTGATAACAAATAATCCAAAAAAAAAAAATTCGTACTTATAATATTAGACTATTGTACATATTTTCAAGCTCTAGCAGTTTTGGTCAAGAATTCCCTTTTAAAGTGTTACTTTTGTTTATATAATCCCTTGTTATTAATACCCCGCTGAGCCCACAGTAGATAAGCGACGAGCTCGGTATTGGGGGAGTGGCTTATATCCGTTATGAAATAATACGTAAGTAACTACTTGCTAGGTGTTTGGGGTTCCGTGTCCAAGGTTTAGTCGGAACCCTTTGAATTTGTATACATGATGCTTACTATCAATAATAATTCGTCTATTCCATCCGTTTGTTCATTCGTTCTGTCTTCGAGAAACTGTTAGTATACCTTTTAATTTATATCAGTTGATCGGTTTTTATTTTTTTGGGATAAAATATCTATGTTATTATAGTAAATTTCTTGAGAAATAAAAAAAACATTAAAAAAGAAAATCTTCATACAACATAGCTACATGTTTTAAAGGTTATTTAAAAGAATTAACGTTTACATTATATATATATATATATATATATATATATATATATATATATATATATATATATATAGTAAATTTTAGAACAACAGATTTTAAAAGTTTTTCTGTACTTTTAGAGTACGTAGGCTCATTTATTTATATATTAACGGCTACTTGTAAACATCTCGACAGATTTGTATGAAATTAGTTTATATCTTATAAGAAAAACAAACTAAGAGTTTGCTTGAAATTTTCTTAATTTGGATTTTATTATATTATGCTCTATACACCTTATACTAGTTTTGTTATTTATATAAGTATCCATATATGTATAAAAGATATCATTTTTATTTTTTTTTCTAATCATTTTCTAAATATATCTTTATTTCTTCTGTAATAAAGGTCTGCCATATTAATTTTTTCTCCATATATAAATGAAGAAAATATTCTCTTAAATGTGCTGTTAAGAAACGTAAACAACATAGGTAATCTATGTTAAAGACAGTAGGTACTTAATTTAAAAACAGATGGGAAATAAGCAGTAGAGTGCAAAGATATACGGATAAGAAGCACTTAGTTAATAAAAAGCCTTGCAAACACAAATACTTTTTATACAAAGTCGCGTGCAAAAGTCACACTATTATTTTAATGCCATAGTTAGTTTGTATATAAGTTTGTTAATCCTTTACGCTGAAACGGCTGGACGGATTTGGATAAAGCTTGCTAAACAAGTAAACTATGAGCTATATATTATATAAATATGTAGGAGGCAAAACATAGTGAAGCAGGTTCAAATCCCGGGTCTCGCACCTCTGACATTTTCACGTGCGAATTATTTCCAATATAATTACCAACTGTCTTATGGTGAAGGACCTGCATATCTGAGAGAACCCAGCAAGTTTTCAAAAGATATGTGAAGTCGGTCAACCCGCATTTTGCATTGGATGATCATGAATTTTGGACAATGGTCGGATCCCCCTCATATAGAAGGGAGGCCTTGCCCAGTAGTGGGACGTTTAGAAAACGCAAAATACGTACACATACATACAAAGACGATGGCGCTAAGTATATGGTGGTAAGTTGTTCGACTTTATTACAAAAATAAAACTGGCTTACAAACCAACAACTATCTCCACACAAAAAATCACGCCAATTCATCACTTCGTTTCGACGTGAAAGAAGGATAAACAAACAAACACACTTTTACATTTATAATATACTAGCAGAAACTATAAAAAATCACTAAAAGGGTAGTTACATACAAACTTTTACTCCCTGTTTTACCCCCTTATGGAATGAATTTCGAAAATTGCTAAAACAAGTATTTATTTAATTTTATTGAAGAGCATTAATACCAAGTTTCAAATAATTCTGATCATAAATATTTTCTTGGATTATATTATAACGTGTTTTCCCGTAGGAATTAGATAATCTCCCGCGATAAAAAGTAGCCTATGTCACTCTCCAGCCCTCCAACTATCTCCACACAAAAAAACGCGCCAATCGATCACTCCGTTTTGATGTGAAAGAAGGACAAACAAACAAACAAACAAACAAACAAACAAACAAACAAACAAACAAACAAACAAACAAACAAACAAACAAACAAACAAACAAACAAACAAACAAACAAACAAACAAACAAACAAACAAACAAACAAACAAACACACTTTCACATTTATAATATTAGTATGGATTATGGATGCATGAAATAAGTATGGATGAACATTATAGCTACAAATGGCCTTGATATTTACTCGAGCGAGGCAAGGGTGAGTTGCTCGTATTTACTAAAAAAAAATACAACTTGTTTAAAATTAACAAACCAAGGTAGCCCAATTAATTTCAGAGTTAAATTAACGTTTTATTAAACGCGGTCAAGCCTAACGTGAAAACATAAAGCAAATGCCACATAAGAGATGTTATCACTGCAATTGAGGCACATTTTTGTTCTAATCATTTTACATTGTAAGTAAATATTTATTAGGAAAAATTTATAATTAATATTTATATGAAAAATAAATTAAAAAATTGCATTAAATAACCGGTAATACCCATTTACAACGACTAAGCACTAGGTCACTTTACGCCGATGCTATGTTGAGTATAATATGTACATAGAGAACTTGAACATACGCAGACCATGACAAACACTTATGTACTATACTATACTATTAGCTATATACTATATAGCTAATTTAAATATTTGATTCGAGTGGAACTCAAATCTGTAATCTCCGATATAGAGATATGATCATACATATCTATATATAATACTAGCAGAACCCGCGGCTTTGCTCGCGCTAAAACTACAAAAAACTCTAAAAAGGTAGTTTCCACACATACTTTCATGGCATGTTTTACCCCCTTATTGGATGAATTTCGAAAAAGGCTAAAATACATATTTATTTAATTGTATTAAAGAGCATTAACACCAAAATTCAAGTAATTCTGATCATAAATATTTTTGGGTTGTATTATAACGTGTTTTCCCGTGAGAATGATATAATCTCCTGCGTTAAAAAAATGTATAAGACCTCGCGGCTAGAAATTATATGGTTCATCAACGTTGAAGAAAAGAAAAAATATAGCTATGGAAATGACAAATTTAATCGTTATGCCATAGAATCATAATATATTATTCCCATATTTTTTTGATTTCTATTCTTCAACGATTGTATAACGACATCTTGTTACCAATTATCAATATTATTGTTATATTCATAGATTCTTTCTGTCAACGCCGTATAACCCGTGGGAAAAAATTAGGAACTGAGAAAAAGTATATGGTAACAAATTCTTCATTTAAAATGATTTTACATAGTTTAATTTGAATTTGACTAGTTAAGTCATTAAAATATAACATTAATTTATTATCTTTTATACTATGAAGCTCTTGGTGTACGAGTCAGACTCACGCTTGCCCGCTTTTTTGAACTACCTACGATGTAAATAGCAGTCATTCTGTTCTGTAGAATAGAGAAGAACGGGATTTGAACTCGCTTCACTCGGTTTCCCAAGCGAGCGCGTTACGATTTGGCTACCACTGCCCACTAGTTGTTATTAGAATTAAAAGCTAAACTCACAAAGAAGTATTTCTTTGGGTGAAATTTTTTGTTATCTACGAAATTACTACTACTTATACTTACGATAAAATTAAAGTTCGTCCACAGATTTTAAATTAAAAGATATAGATGTGTGTGTGCATGTTCTTTATGGATTTCAAAACGGCTGAAATGATTTTGATAATATTTTCAAGCAGTATTCGAATAAGCTCAGCGGGTGTTGTTTATTGTGAAGTTCGAACGCGAGCGAAGCCATGGGTACTGTTAGTTATACTTAGTAATGATATTTATTTTTAATATACAGGTGTATCTAGTACCAACAGAAGAATCAGCTCGCAACTACGACAGTTGGATATGCGGAGGTGCTATTATTCATCCTTTCTTGGTGCTAACTTCGGCTGCCTGTATAGAAGATGTGGAGAAGACTTATGTAGTGGCTGGTTATAATAAATACGTCAAACTATCAGATTTAGATAAAAATGAATGCACTAAAAATATGAAAAGAAAGATTGTTGAAACTTATGTACCTTTATGTAAGGTTTTGACTTTTTTTCAAGCTTCGATTATATCCTGTGCTGTATCTTTTGACCGATTTTAAAAAGGAAGAGGTACTCAATTCATCTGAATGTTCTTTTGTAAATATGTCATTCGATAACTTCAACAATTGTGGATCGATTTTCACAATTTTCTTTTTAATTACCCTTAGAGATGGTAATTGATCACATATAATTTTTGAAAATTCCAACCCTAATGGTGAAATATCTTCTTTTAAGTGATTTTGAAGCGTTGCAACTTTCATAAATACTGCTTCTCTTTTTCTATTTTTATATTTTAGGGTATTCAGAATTATGACTTTACCGTAAGTAAGTATAATAAATAGTGCTAAAAATATATTAAACTATAGGTTGGTCATATATTTTCAAATTTCTAGCGTACGAACTGGACTACAATAATCTAGAGAATTGGTCCGCACTCGATATAGCTGTGGTGAAAGTTGAAAAACAGTATCGCTTCGACGATCAAAATTTTACAAAATACTGCTCCTATGCACCTAATAAAATCGATGTCAATTTTGACAAGCAGAACGAGAAACCTGGCACTCAAGCGATTGTGCTGGGATGGGGGCATACAAGAAAATGGCGAATGGTAATACCATAGTTAAGCGTAATAATAAATATAATTACTTAAAAATTGAAAACCCTATGTAAGTAGGTATAATTTGCAAAAAAATGGTTAAATGGTTAGCGTGAAAATAATTTTTAAAATATAAAAATGTGGTTTTCTATTTATCCGTCTAATTTATAGATATTATAAACTTAACTTAACAAAAAGGAAAAGTTGACAAGTACAAAATAAAATTATAGCAAACTATACAGAATAATATAGAACATATTAAAAATAGGATAGGCATAGGTTATTATTATTATTATGTATTTTTTTAGGAAGAAGATAAAAGAGACCATAACGCTAACAAACTTCTCTATGGCCCAACAATTATATTTCCAAAATTTGAGTGCAAAAAGTATTACATAAATCCTAATTTAACTAATATTATTGACAAATATATGATCTGTACCAATGGCAACGGTCTACTGAATGATTCTGGGGCTACTAATTTAAGTCACGAATATGAACTTGAATCGGAAGCAACGGTACGACTATAATCATTTATTTTGTCAATAATCAGGTACGTATAATTATATGGTTAATAGTATAAATTATATGATATGGCACATATGGTTTTGTAAATTGAATGTATCATTTTAACCGGTAAATCGCTTAAAGTGAAGATATTTAAAGCTTTGGCTTTCTACGTCTTCGAATTGAACATTCCAAAAGCAAAACAGGTCTTTATTATCTGTTATAATCAAGAGTGTAGTGTTAGTTACTTAGAAATATTGTTGTGAATTAATAATTATTAAAGTTCGAACTTCGAGCATGATTATTATTGTTTTTTTTTATTTATAAAACTAAAGCTCGTCAATAGCTATTAAACTATACGTACTCGTAATTCTCAATTTGACCACAGACTTTAACGATAAACAAAAGAGTATATATGTAGTGTGTGTCAAATACATGGTGTGTGTAATGTTTTTTTTAATTATTTTTATGCATAATTCAAAAAAAAAATATTAAAATTCTGCACTCCTTCTCTTTATAAACTACTAGCGGACCCGACAGACGTTGTCCTGTCTACACGTCTTTAATTTGAAAATTTCAAACTTTTTTTAATAAGCTAAAACATTCTGGACCATTTTGATGAAAATTATTATTCAAATTGTGAATCTAAACCATTCCCAGATCCCCTTGAACACACACAAAAAATTTCATCAAAATCGGTCCAGTCGTTTGAGAGAAGTTCAGTGACATACACACTCACAGAAGAATTATATATATAAAGATGAGTATAAGAAATTTTATACTCCTCCGTCCGCGTAATTTTTGTAAAAAGGGGTACAAAGTTTTTATTATATATAGATTAATCTGATGAACTCTTCGATCAACAATACTACTAGATAACGTGTCACATACAAAATCAAAGCTAAATTCTGTCCGCGCGAATATGCACTTATACAGCTTCATTTGTATACTAACGAACCAAGACCTCTTATTATAGTTTTATTTTCAAGCTAATCAACACCATAGCACCTTGTAATAAAGTCACAAATCTTCAAATTATCATCATACACTTACGATCAATTCGTAAGTTTTATAATCTTTATTGTCAAATCAACCTTATATCAAAAAACATTATGCATACCACCTGTAGACAATACAGGTGGTTATGTGGGACTCGCCGGCTAGAAAAGCCAGTACTACCCACTAAAATCCAACAAAACCTCCCCCGTCTTAATGGGGCGTCGCACGATCGCTTACGCACGCAAAATTAATGTACAGAATTTACGTTAAATATCTTTTAAGATGCTGGGTATTTTTAGTATCACTAAAATTAAATTTGTTTGTCATAATAAATTAAAGAAACTCGTGCTTATTTTTGCAGGTAATAAATTGTGTATTGTGAATACGTAAAATAATATTTTAGTGTATAAAGAATACAGATGATGGTAAAAACAACACAATATTCGGCGGTGCGGAGCCCTCGATGCGCGAATCAAAATCATACTCACACATTCGAAAATCATTACAGCCATCAAATTATTATTAGTTATAACATAAAACCAAAGAGTTTGTATTTTTGAGTAGTTTGAACGCGGGCAAAGCCGCAGGTACCGGTAGTATGTATATAAATATGCAAAGACAAAACAATTCAGTGTCGTTTTTTTTTGTAATACCTGTTGGTAATTTAGTTATCATTGATATTTTCCTCAAATTTTCAATAATGGTCGAATTTCGGCCACAAGGCGAAGGCTAGTTATAATGATCCAGTTCAATTTTGATTTACAGAAATTGGAATATATTACAGACCATCACGTGGATTCTGATGGAATCATAGACAGCTTTCGTAAACTTAAAACTAACCCTGATGCAGAAAGCATAGAAAGTAAACCAGGAATATGTCAGGTAACACACATGCTATTCAAAACTAAGTTCGTTAATTTTGACTGTAATATGTTGTCGGAGACATACGTTTCATCCTTTCTGGGAGTCTTACTACGTACATACGAGTATATGTACATTGTCCATACATATTATGTCTCCGACTGCATAATACTATTTTTTCAGTTACCTGTTCCCTCCTTTATATTGCGCTTTTTATGCCGTCGAGATTTTTTTCTGTTTTATAATATTTTTTATTAATCTAAAAATATTTATTTGCCAAGTTCATTGGTAAAAGTGCAAATTTTTCTAAAAGTACCTACCGCTCATTTGGTTCAACTAGCAAGGCAGTAAGTTAAGAATAAAACATGATTTTCAATATCTTTATTAATCGAAGAGAATAATATTGACGACACGTTTGGCTCAGTTTGTAGTGACCCTACTTGCTGTGCCAGCGGTCGCGGGTTAGAGTCCCGCTGGGGGCATCCAATTGTGTGATGAGCAGAAATGTTTGTATTTCAGTCATGGGTGTTTATATTTATAATAAGTATGTATTTAAAGTTATACATATGTAGCGTAGCAACTATCTGGTATCCATAAACAAGTCTCGTAACTTACCATGGAACTAGATGTGGCTGTGTATTAATGTCCCAACATATTTATTTTATTTATTTATCTTTAATTAATGTTTATTTTAAAACAACGCATAAAAAATAATAAAAAAAACACCATTCTTTTGAATAAGCACTAGAAATGACTGTCTAACTGTACTGTCTAAAGCCTTGTACCCTCTACACGATTGTTAGTCACGTTTATAGTTGGTTAATATTAGTAATATTTTTTTTTAAATAAAAAGCACCTATTTCTTAAAGAATGATCACGGCGGTCCCTTGATTTCCTGGATAAACGGAACAGAAACAGTGCTTGGGGTAGCATCAATGTTTAGAGTCAACCAAAAATTAGAGTGTGTCCCGCCCTTTCTCTTCACGAGTACTTATCGCAATAAGGATTTAGTTGAGTGTCTTTTAAATGAGTAAGTAAAAACTTAATATTAAAAATTTATCAAAAAATATATCATGCGCACACGCACACGCACATGCACGTACATATAACTATTATAAAGGTACCTACAGTTTGTAATTTACGTACTAATTTATAAATTTCAGCAAATTCGATCGCAATGGATGTCTACAAAATGAAGAAAAATATAAAATATTAAGTCGCCGTATTTACTGGAATAAACAGTCTAAGTAAGCTATACGTTTAACAATAACAACATATGATTTAAAAAACACAAAATATATTTATTTAATTATTATTATGTAAATTCAAAGCAAAAGAGAAACGTACAATGTTTTATCCTAAAATTAGTAAAAGAAAAACTTTCATTCTTCTTTTTCATATTATATTTCAGTTCTGCATCAAGTGAAACTATAATAACAAGACCTCAAATTTCGCTCAGTCATTTTCAGGAATAACTATAGAAAGGAACAATAGATAATTAAAGACTCAAAATCGTGGATTCTTACTTCTTTAGTAAACACCCAGAAAAGAAATAAAAAGAATACGAATTTTGTTTATTTGTATGTTATTTCAGTGACTTGAATGACTCAATTATAATGCAAAAAATGTGTAATTTAGAAAGATGTCTTAAATTTCTACTTAAAGATTATTGCATTAATTTACTATAAATTTTTCTTTTAATTTTGCTAAAAAACTGTTCATTATATGATTTTTTTATCAATACAATTAATAAAGTAAAACTTCATTTAATCATACTGTTTTTAAAATATTATAAAATTTATTGAAATTACCTGTTTTAAAAATAACATATATAAGGTATGCAAATCTAAATGCAATGCTCTTATTCTAGTTTAAAACAAATGTTGATTCCTAAACTTTGCTATTAAACCACTAAAATAATAAAACAAATAAAAAGCGTACCAAAAAATCCGTAACTGAACTGAAAGGGGTGTTTTCACGATTCATTCCCCTTCGCTTCCACTGCCCTTTGATACTGCCTTTTTAAATTATGATTGGTCGATGTACCAGAAATAGCTTTGAAGCAAGATTAAAAATACATTCAATAGTCTTAAAATAATATTAAAAGTTATCTACACCTATTTAAAAAAAATATTTCTATTCCAAATTTTTTGTTCATTTTCATAAATTTAGTATTTGTTGATCAAATATTTTTGTGTCTATTTCAACGTGTACTTTGAAATAACAATCATAGAGAAATAAAAAGCAATTTCATTTATGGTCAGTTATAAAATATTTGAAGCGTTAAGAACTTCAATCATACTAAACGGTTTCAATAAATGAAATTAAGCCAAATGCGAGTCCGTCTGTACACATCCCACATCTCAAAAATAAAATAACATAATATCTTATTCCAATATTTTTTTGGTAAAAAATAATTTTAAGTTTTCACTTAACTTTTCATATTTTTTACTTACTTGTATATGTTTGTAGTGTCATATTATGTAATGTTTTAATTCTTATATATAACTAGCATTGCCCGCGGCTCCGCCCGCGTTTAGATGACCAAAAACCAAATTCTTAGGTTTTACATATTAGTATACTTTTACATATAATTCTTGTATTTTTTTTCTCAAAAATGAGATATTTCCCCGCGGTAAAAAGTATCATATATATTGACCCGGATAGCCAGCTTATCACCATACCAAATTTTATCAAAATCCTTCCAGTGGTTTTTTTGTGATGCGGTAACAGACAGACAAAAAATTCTAAAAACTATAGATTTGGCCTCTGTATATATTAATGATAATTATTTCAATAAGATTTTCCAAAAAATATCTAATGTACAGATTCGGCTTAGTAACAATTTTATTATATGTATATTGAATTGAATTGATTTGAATATATTTATAAATAAATTTTAGTTATAACAATTTTCGAGGAAATTGGCTGTAGGTAATAGCATCCGGCGGACATGACATCCGGTAGAAACGGTGGAACTATAATTCCGTTTTTGTAATTTGACGGAACCTTAAAACGGATAGAAAAGAGATAGAAAGCCATTTTATAAATATGCACTGGTATGCTATATTAATTGCGGGATTGAATAAATTATATCAATTCTTTAGTTATTACTTTATTTAAATTAAACAAAGTATGCCGATGCATTACTTCAGTCCATGGAATCGACCCCGCGAGATCCGGCTTAGAACGCAGTACCATTAAAACATGAAGTTCAGCGATTGCAACAGCTTATCAGTTAAAACGGTCATCAAAACAACTTTCAGATTTATTGCAGTCCAGAATACTTCGATTCAGCATCGGATTAATCATTCCTATAGGAATTTTGTTCAATTGAAACATTTTCTCGTTTCGAATAACGTTCTGTGGCTTGAGGCTACACAAGCATTTCGAAACATGGCCAGAAAACCTATATCTGGAAATCCATTCGATACTTTTCGTATAATACAAATACAGATAGAACTTAGTTTTAATTTCTCAGTTTAAAGGATTTGTCACGTCTTGAAAGTAACTCCTTTAGCGGCTTTGCTTTGTTGCTCCGCCATATAGAAAGCCGATTGCAAGTCTTTCGATTTGCTCCAATTCCCACGCTTCAAGAAGATTTCCAAAATTCAAACTGCTAAGTATTTACTACTAGTGATATGATTTCGATTAGATCACATTTCAAAAATAGCAAAGTGCACATATCGTAATAATCTTTATAAAAATAACTTTGTGTAATAATTAATAACTTACGAAGAAATAAATTTGTGTATCGCATCATTGTTAGCTTTTAATTGAAAAACAGATTTATTAGCATCGCCTATGGCATTAGATTATATGTTATAGGTCATGGGTTCGATATATTTGGTATTATACCATGAAATTTTGGTCATCTTCTCTTTGGTCTCTGGTGACATTGGCAAAATAGTCTATGACAAATGGCACGCTTTAAAGTCAATAATATTATTACCAAAGAAGAATGAAAATTGAAGAAGAACATCATTAACGAAAAAAATGAATTGAATTGAAATTTTCACCTTGTGGTGTTCTTGACCTGATTTATGAAAAATTACATTGGCTACTATTCAAAGCACGATTTCCAATAAAATGGTAGCGAAAGTTACATAATAGCGATTTAAAGAAATAGAACTGACAAATTATATTGTTCCAAGTCTGAAAATTATAAAAACTTTTTAACAAAAAATAAAAACCGATTTCCAGGCACTAAAATGTAAAAAAAAACTGTGTGTGTAGACGTAATAAGCAGGTTATTTGTTAGAAGAAAGTTTTTTAATAATATTATCGATTAAGCAATTTATTTAAAAAAATAATTTTATTGCTTATTTAAAAAAACCGCTTGACCGAATTCGATAAAAATTTTATGGGACCACATGGAAAGTATACCCTTTGAAACAAAAAAAAATCCAAATCGGTTTATGCGTCTTCGAGTAATCGGTGAACATACATTAAAAAAAGATTCCGACGAATTGAGAACCCCCTCCTTTTTGGAAGTCGGTTAAAAAATTGTCGGCTGCACCGACTTTAAAGTGCCATTCTTATTTTGCTTAGCTTTCTGCTCGCGGCTACGCTCGCTCGACTAAAGATCTTGCTCATTTTTAATTTCCATTGAACTTACATATCGAATTTGTAATATTATGTGTACATTTATTTTATCAAAACAAAGTAAATAAATAATTGAAAGGGAGTTTTCATTTACTATAGATACCTAATCAGATATTTTCGAAGTCGGGCCAGCCGATACAAATTAAAGTAAAGCGAAATTGATGTATAATATTTTAAACTTCCATTTATTTTATTCATATTTATTACAAAAAGGGCCACTTAGCTCGGAAGCTAGCTTGCTAAATGATTATATACAAGGAAGGAGAAGCAAATTTGCTCTTTATAGCTTCACCTAAGAGACGGGAACAATTAAAAGTCTATTTTGTAACGCCAGAGAGTACTGTAACTAGCGATGCGATAGTTTATACTCGTAGCAGGAGCTTTTAAGCTGCGTCCGTAGAAACTATGCATTGTAGTTTACATTTATTTTTTATTTATGTGTCATCTATCTACATAAAGCAATCTCATCGCAGCCATTTTTTTAAATAAATTAAAAATGGCGGCGGGTGTTCAATGCAAGTTTTCATAGAAAATGTTTGAACACCTTATAAAATTTGAAAAATGAAATTATCTCACTTATGGTTGATAGTCCTTATTTACCAATCTATTATATTAATAGCTGTGCCAAAGAAGAACTAGTAGCTGACACTAAAATATCCTAAAAGTATTTTATAAAATACGGGCAGTTTATGGCAAATCTTAGTGTAAAATGTAATACCTAATAGACAAAAATATACATGTGATATAAATAACATATTTCGTTAAATAATTCATTGCTATTTTCCCAATAAATTCCATTTTTTATGAGATTTTCATGGGCATTATTAATATTATCTCGTATGCTCGTAGTATCGCCAATTAACTATTTATCTCGACGTGATTTCCGTGAATTTCACCTGACATAGTGTAAAATAACTGCACTACAAAATTGTTTTTACTACAAATTTTCCCTAGATGTCCTTCGCATATATTGTGGAAATTCTCAGAAGGGACGATTTTTTCGAATTAACACAAAAATATATCACCACAATTAGATAACCCCTTTTTTATGGATAAAAATCGTATGAAAATCTGTAGAGTAGTTTCTGAGATTAGTTCGATCAACTCTGCGCGACATGGGACTTTTAATTTATACTATTATGTAATTAAGCTTAAATTAGAAGTGTTGTAGAAGCTTCTGTTAGAAGTGGGAATGCTTTATAGTAGTTTTTATTCTGTATGAAGTACCTAACTAAATTTGACTTAGGTTATACGAATTTGTGGCGATATTGTTGTAACTCTGGAAAATTGAGATCGAACATCGACGAACTCTGTAAGAGTCATATTGAATAATAAATAAATAAATTGGGACATTAACACACAGCACCACTTAGTTCTATGGTAAGCTACAAGGCTTGTGTTATGGATACCAGATAGTTGATACACTATACTTATATTATAACTTTAGATACATACAAATATAAACGCCCATGACTGGAGTACAAACATTCGTACTCATTACACAAATGAATGCCCCCAGCGGGACTCGAACCCGCGACCGCTGGCACAGCAAGTAGCAGCATATTATTATGTTTGATTAATAAAGATATTGAAAACCATGTTTTATTCTTAATTTACTGCCTAACTGCCTTTGCGAAATTCATTACCATCAAAGTTGTAATTAGTAATTACATAATAATTTTATCTACAAAATATAAAGTAAATAAAATACTGTTCATTTATCACTTTTTGCACGTTAAACCAACTACGTGGAAAACTGAGCTCCACTAAAGCTTTTGCTTCCGGGATTTAAAGTTTCCGAGATGTTTAATACTTCAAATCTTCGTGATCAGCTGGCGCTATACGGAATTTCTGAGTGCAAAAGTGCAAGTAGCACACTAAGTTAAACTTTAAATTTTATATCTTATATCTGTAAATGAGCAATTTAAATCACGGAAACAGCTCCAACGCTTTTCATGAAATTTAGTATACAGGAGGTTTCGGGGTCGTAAATCGATCTAGATTAGTCTTATGTCTGAGAAAACGCGTGTTTTCGAGTTTTCATGCAGTTTTATTTTGCATTATTCCAGGCAAAATATGGTCGGTAATTGGCACGCTCGGGCATAACCATCGTGGTCAATCGGCCAAGGTGCAAGATCAACAATCACAGGTGTCAAGGTTGGAATCTCGGTTGCAAACAAAGTTTTTACTTTTGTTTTTTTTTTATATATATTTATTCAAGTTTTTAGTTTTTTAAAAATACAGAAAACTGTACTTTACGCCCAAAATTCTTATTATCGATATTTCAGTTCGTAAAAGCAAAAATTTGAAAAAATAAATATTCGTGAGCCTGTAACTTTGTTGTTATTGATGATATGAAAAAGTTGACAAGGACTTTTTTATAGAATTTTAAACGTACATACAACGTACGCCATTTAACATTTTTCTGTAACTATTACAGTTTAGCTAAAACATGCAAAAAACCATAAATTTGAACTTTAAAGCTATGTAACAAATAAAAATTGAAGATAGAAATTCGACTTAATGGAACTTTCTGTAGTAAATTTAATAGTAAAAACGGTCCATTCATTCCTTTTTTTTTTGAATAATATTTTCATCATGGTTTGCAGAACAAAATTGTATGGGAAAACTTACACAAAATATTATTATAATGTGTGTTATAACGTTGTTATTACGTTTTTGTAGTCCGACCTTAGCGCTTGCAGAGCTCAAATAATACATTTTTGGCATTAAGATATTTTAACTTTTTACCGAGATTAACTCTTTAAATTATTTCTTTTTTACTCGTTAAAATAGTTAAAGCTGCGTATACTGGAGTAAACGAGCAAATTAAATACGTATATATAGATATTTTGGTAAAAATACATACTAAGATGTAAATATGCCTAATACGTAATAATTTCATATGTTGAAAGTTAAATTCGAACCTCTGTTTGAGATAAAATTGCTAATATTTCAGTAAAATTAGTTTGAAATAAACTACTGTAGGTACCAATAAATTATATTCTTTGTTTGTTGCTGTAAAACAGTCACAACTCAATGATTTGTTTATATAATAAAAAAATACCATAATAACTTGGGTAACTATTCTGATTTCAATTTGTTAAATTATTCCAAGGTTAAAGTTTTCTAATCTTCGGTCCCAACAATTATTTTTTAATTAAAAAGGTACAACGACTTCAATATTATTAAAATTAATTATACCAATATTTTCTGAGATATAATTTGCATTCTACTCGTATTTACAGCAATTATTTTGTTTAATGATTGTGCGTTAAATAAATATTTACAAGAATAAAAAACCGACTGCGTAAATAGATGGCAAAAAGTTAAAGAAGAAACACACTATGCAGTCGGAGACGTACATGTTTTATACTTGCTGCGAGACTTGTCAGTTGCTACGCGTTTAATACGAACGTGAAGCTACATAAGACACACACTGGACAGGTCCACTTCGGTTGGCGGTGGACCATGAGGGTTGTTCGTGGTATTTCTTTGATAGCAGAGTGAGAGAAAATCCATTGTGTTTGTGGCAGGCCAACCATCGAAACATCGTGGTTGAGTGCATAAGTGATCCTTTCAAGACAGGGTCCCATTAAGAAGGAGGAGGTTCAGTTGTTCTTTTCATTGTTAAAGTTTGTACAGACTTAAACAAGATAGATCTTACATATTCTCAGAGGCACGGGTGTGTAATATCGCCAATTCCCTAACTTCGGCACTCGCGGCAGTAGGAACTGTGAACCTTTTAACACCTCCAGATTTGCAGCCGTACATGCTAGACTCTAGACTATCGCAGCAAATATCACTTGTTCATTAAGTATAATAGTCATAAAAATCAATTTAAAATTGGCGAAGATAACGCGAAACGTACCGAAAAAAACAGGCCCGAATAATTTAAATTCCTCTTTGAAGTCGGGGCAAGAAATTTAAAAAGAAGGTACTCTGAAATAAAACGTTAATCTATTTTTATTAACGGTAAAAAAATATAAAAATTATTTTCTACATATCGTGTGCGTATAGCCTTATCTCTAAAGCCTGCTCATGCGATTCGGTTTACATCGCTTTAATCTAGAGATTTACATTGAGTAAATTAAGTGGTTACATATTACACGGTTGCGTGAGTATAAAATCACACCAATATTATAAATGCGAAAGGTCTCTCACAAAATGAATGATAGAGGGAATGAGTACCTCTTTACGGTACAACGGAATGGAGCCCGTATTATGGATGATTTATTTATGCCACGCGTGTACAGCTGCGGGAAAAAATAGTAATTATTTCCTAAGTGTCATAGGCTATATTTTATACCGACTTATACTGAGGTATAAATATCAATGTGCTAGTATTGAAATTGCAGAATGATAGTGATGGACGCGCCGAATTTAATTAGACTTACAGAGAAGACAAACAGAATTTTTGTGTAACACGAAGCTGAATCCGAGCTTATACTTCATATATCTGTATGAAGTATGTTCGCGGATTCAGCTGTCGAGTTGCAATAAAGTTCTTACAAAAAAGACCTGTTCCAATTTTGTTAAAACTAAGTCAGTCCGTGGTTGTCACCACCACCTAACAGTGTCGGAAAACAGTACCTACACAATTCTTATTTTAAGGTGCAGAAGAATTCTACGTTTGTAATAAATTCATGCAAAACATAAACGTTTAAGTTACTTTTAAAATTCTTTTTAGGGTTCCGTAGTCAAAAACCAAAATATAATTACTCTATGTCGATCTGTCCTTTTGTCCATATTTCGCAGTCATTTTACTTGGACACTATTAGTACAATTTAGTTGAAATTTTATATGAATTTACGAGTACATATCCTAATGTAAACTGCTACACAATAGAGAAGTCAAATTACGAAAAAAAACAACTCTAATAGACTTATCACATATTATGTAACGATTCAAAAAGTTTCAGTGTAGATTTTAATTTAATGGGAGAAATATTTCCATATATCTTTTTTTATTTTGAGTCAAGAGACGCTAAGTTATATGATTTTAATATCATAAACATTATGTAATCTATACGTATAATAAAATTGTAACTAAGCCGAATCTGTACATTAAATATTTTTTGGAAAATCTTACTGAAATAAACATTATTATCAATACAGGTGCCGAATCTATAGTTTTTAGAATTTTGTCTGTCTGTCTGTTTGTTACCGCATCACATTAGTATGTTATATTTAGTATGATGATAGCCGGTTATCCATTATTATCAACATATAGGATATTTTTTACTGCGGGGAAATATCTCATTTCTGAGAAAAAATCCAAAAACTGCAATGTAAGAGTATACTAATATGTAAAACCTAAGAATTTGGTTTTTGGTCATTTGAACGTAGGTGGAGCCGCGGGCAATGCTAGTTGACAAATATAAATCTGTAAAGTCGACTATCATGCAAGTGTAGTGGTATCGCGTGTACACTCACACTCTTGCAAGTTACAGGGATACCACGAAGAAAATTGCAAGCAATTCCTCTTGTAAATGTGTCCTCAGTATGCCATTCACAGGCAATTATTTGTCACGCTTGCTACTTTCCCGGTTTGTTGGTATACCTTAACCCGCCTTTAAAAATGTTGTGAAAAATTATATGTATTTTTCGTTTTAAACACTATTATTTTCATAACATATAATTTTATGATTTATATAAAACTATGTATAACAAAAAATTATTTCTTCGATAAATAATTATAAATTGTGCCCATTCCTCTCGTTCGGTTGTAATTCTTATAAAATACTAGCACCTCACCTTCGCTTCGCTCGGGTTCGTCCCTAGATACGTTTTAATTGTTTTGAGCGGAACATAAATTATATTTCTAAAATAAAAGTAGCCTATGTTACTCCCTATAACATCAGCTATTTTCCAGTGAAAGTCCCGTTAAAATCAGTTTAGCTGTTTCAGCGATTATCCGGAACAAACAGACAGACAAAAACTTTTTAAAATTGTGTTTTTCTTATAAGTACCGTATATAATTTCATATGCATTAAGTAAAACGCTGTTATTTTGACATTACAAACAGGCACTTCAATTTTATCTCTATAAACAAGCATTGCCCGCGGCTCCACCCGCGTTTAGGCGACTGAAAACCAATCAAAAACGAATTTCTTAGGTTTTACATATTAATATATAATACCAGTTTCAAGTAATTAATTGAGTAAAAACGGCGGTGATTGGCAAAGCTACAAATGTTCCATTTTTATTTCATATTTAATTTTGTAAATTACGATTATCGGACTAAAACAACATTTTTAGTAGGTCTGTACTTTGAGACTGGGCGAGACTTATATAGGGGAATTTTTATTTATTATCCTTCCAGTGGTTTTCTGCGATGCGGTTACAGACAGACAAAATTTTTAAAACTGTAGTTTTAGCGTCTGCATCAATAATATTGGTTATTTCAATACTAATTTCCAAAAAAAAAACTTATTGTAGAGTTTCGGCTCAGTTAGAATTTCATTTTATGAAGAAATTATATTAATATGTTACTAATTTTTAAGAAAAATAGTTTTTTTTGTCATTTGGACACATGTGGAAACGCGGGTAATGCTAGTAGTTTTAATAAAATCATAGAGAAGTCATATATTTTGTACTTTTTTTTTGGAATAAAATTACCTATTTTAAAAACACATCTAGTGATAGTTTTATAAATTACACCTTAACTGTTCATTTTTCGAGTTAATTTTATGTATAAAATATAGCTAGTGATATAGTTCTTTTCAAGAGAAGCTATTATAATTATTTTGGACCTATTTTGTAAGTTATCTTGCTAAAATGTTTATAATTTCAGTGTGGTTTTATTTTAACCAGTGTTTTTTTATTTCTTATCAGATATGAGATATTTTCCCACACAGTAAATTAATTGAATCATTTATAACATACATAATATTTAGTTAAAATAAAAAAATAAGACCAACAAAAAAGAACATTGTAAATTTTTCATTTTGACATTTTATAAATTGGGTGATATTAATGATTATTTTTAAAATCATCTTGACACTTTGTTAGTGTAGAGTTATTTTTGTAGAAAATTATTATTTACTCAAAAAAAATCTAATTTATTTTCCACGTCATTGTTTAAAGTATAGACCGAGAGCATATTATAGTGGCATATAGCTCCCATCACCTCTCATCCAGATAATGATATCTAGGTATTCCCTGACTCGCATATTGGATAATTTAAAGGTATAGGTATTTTATAGATCTTAAAGCTATATTATACGCTAGAGTAAATATCAATAACAATATTTCGTCAAATTCAAAAATACTTTTACTTAAAATACTATTAATATTATAATTAACGTAAAAAAATGTGAACATGTTAGTAGGTGTGGATGTATAGTGAAGATTCATCTCGTATCGTTAAACAAAATAGGACATTTCTTTTGCTTTGCAATGTAGTGTCAGAATTTATCAAAAGATGGCACTACCTTAGAAAGTTGAAAAATAACATTTTAACGATGGCTATTTAAATAGATTTATACAATTAATTTAGTTTTCTGAATCTTATGAGAAGTCATTCTTTATTTCTTAATAAAAATAGAATTTATTATTGAATAATTAAATATTGTTATATAAAAAGTCAAAACTTTGAATAAAAGTTATCAATTATAATTAATATTGTATAAATTTTCTAAATAATTCAACGATCCATTTAATAAAGAATAAGTAACATATGACTTGCCCTCTTGTTTGTCCTCTACATTATAATAATATTATTATAAAAGTATAAATACGTTATTCTACCCATACATCAATGTCAAAAGCTATTTACGTATCGTACGTAACGAAAGTGTATTTTCTTTAAGCAAAATTTTATCCATATCATATGCATATTTCTTTTATATTTTTGTTTGTGGTAGAATGGAAGCAAAATCTAATTTTGACGTGAAATGTCTTAAAAAATCACACCGAAACGTATAGGGCACCATAGATCAAAAAAGTGCACCGTAACGAAATCGTCTATATCGTCTTACCTTAATAATTTAAAAAAATATTAGTCTTAGAAACGTAAGTCTAGTATCATTATTTAGCTTATAAGACAGCTCGCTGTTGTAACCTTGACTTTGCATCATATGGTATCATATCGTCTTATGGTATCATATCGGTGATGACTGCTGCGTATTGGATGCTAGTAATATTTCAGTTGTATAGATCTAATGTAGTTATTTTTATAAGTTGCGCTTTAATCCCTCATATAATCTAGTTTTCTAGGATAGCAGCAAGGGCTAGATCAATTTTTTATAAGCTTAGCTAGCTAGCTTAGAAATTTAATTAATTTCTTAGAAATTTACTTGTAGGTGCTAAAAAAGTAATCACAGTTTACCTAAATGTTTATAATTTAGATGAAAAAGGTAAATATGACACTGAAATGGTATGAACCTACGTCACTCAGATGTTAATAACATAAAGTTATATAGAAGTTAAAAATCAAAAACTTAATAAAATATCCAATTCATTTGTGAACAATTTGCTTGGACAGTTTGACATGTACAGAGCTTTTGTTGAAGTTTCGAGCGTTTTACGGTTTGGGTCTGCAATTTGTGCGGTTTGTTTTTCAATTCCAAGTTCTCTCGGCACATATCACGTAGGCCTTTTAAGTTTGTTATATTTAAAAAATGTACTATTTGTTTTTTTTTAACCGACTGCGGCAATGGAAAAAGCTATCTGTTTACTAAATGGCTAAACAGATTTTGATGATTCATACGTTGCTAGATTCGCCTTGATAACACTAGTGTAATATACTGTAGATACCTACTCGTATCATTAAAAATCAAAATGACGCATCTTAAGCCCCAATTTTTGACTTGTTTTTTTTTATAATACTATGTTCCTTCGTCAACTTGCTCTTCTCTTTTTAGTTCGCTTTATACGCAGTCGAATTTTGAATGCTTATAATACTTTATTTTAATTAAATTGGGATTTGTTAAATTAGGAAGTTTGTATGCATGTTTATTACTCCTTCAAGGTGACACGACGGGATGTATTTCAATGAAATTTAGTACAAGGACTGACTAAAACCTGAAATAAATTTAACATTACAAGAAAACAAAAAAAAGGCTACCAATAACAAACATTTGAATTGTTAATATTATTAGTAAACTATTAATTACTAGCGACTTTGCTAAGGTTCGTCCCTAGCTTGCTTCCCAATAATAACTTTCATCCCCAATTTCATCCCCTTAAGGAATGGTTTCCGGGATAAAAAGTCCAGAGACTACCCCCTACAACGTCACAAACTCACAAACTTATCCTCTTTATAATAATTAATTTGCAATAGATTTCTTAGTATAGATAATAATACTGTGTATATGTACTTTTTACTCTTACAATTTAACTTCAAACATTCATTCAACATCTGTATTACGTAGCTTAATTATGTAATGTTACAAAATCTCATTAACACTTGAGTTCGTTTAACAAATGGTTAGCTACTTAATTACATAATGATGCTCTAGGGAGATTTAAAACAACTCAATTTATCATTAAACAAAATGGAAATTTTTGGTTTTTCAACCGCAGTCTCTCTTGATTAATTGATAATAATTGATAAAAGACTATGTTTTATAGATTTCTATTGCAGAAAGAATTTTTAGTATCGATTATGGAATTCAAGGATTATTAAAAAATATTATCTATAAAAGTTTTACACCCAAAAATAGTTTCTTGTACTATATAGAAGTGACAACGCTATGACTCGCTTGGGGAAACCGAATGACGCGGGTTCAAATCCCAGGTCTCGCACCTCTGATATTTTCATGTGCGAATCATTTTCAATATGATTACCACTAATTACGGTGAAGGAAAACATGTTAACTTTACCAACCAGCACTTGGCCAGCGTGGCTGCAGGTCAACGGGCAAAATTATCAAAATTGTCATTTCATAACTTGCGCGCACTACCTACAAACTACATACAAAACAAATTTTAATATTTAATAATAATAACATTTCATTAAATAGGCGCTAATATTCTTTATCTTTAAAAATGCCTATAAATACAATATTTTCCTTATTACATATTATTATTACAGTTAGTTAAACTTAAAATAACTGTATTATTGCACTATGTATGCTTATTTCTTGGTTTGTATGTTGGAAGGACTCTGGAATAACTGCATCGATTCTAAAATACTTTCAGAAATATAAAGTTACTTTATATTTATATTCTATTATTATCTTAAAAGCTAGTTTATTTTTTCGACGTACCACGATTAAAACTGCGAGCATATACTAGTATGAAATAATTGCCTCATTTCATATCCATAATGTGCAAATAATAAAAAGTCTTAAAACAAAAAAAATCCATCCCAATTTCTAACTTTTAATAACTTCGCTTGGTTTTTTTATAAATCTATTTATTTAATACTTTCTTAGATTTACGCGAAAATTTGACATTTTAAATAAAACTATATTTTCGGATTATTTCGCTGATTTATTTTGATTTTTGGTTCCCGACGTTTCGAATGCTTTACAGCATCCATGGTCACGGGAGAGACTGAGGTGTTACATGTCTTGAAGGTATAGTTGTTACAGACAGCCTACCCACAACTAACAAAATGAAAATTGCAAAAATTACCTATAATTAATTATAAAAATGTTTAAAGTTAAAAAATATTGCAGGCAGTGGTAGCCCAGTGGTAACGCGCTCGCTTGGGAAACCGAGTGAAGCGAGTTCAAATCCCGGGCCTCGCACCTCTGATATTTTCATGTGCGAAACATTTCCAATATGATTACCATTTGTCTTAGCGGTGAAGGAAAACATCGTGAGGAAACCTGCATGTCTGAGAAAACCTAGCAAGTTTTCAAACGACATGTGAAGTCCGCCAATCCGCACTTGGCCAGCGTGGTGGACTATGGCCTGATCCCCCTCGTACTGAAGGGAGGCCTATGCCCAGCAGTGGGACGTTAAAAAGGGCTGAATACAACTCATCCGTCCGTCCGTCCGTTATTATGTATATTATCCGATTATTCGTATAATAGTTTTTAAAAATACACAAATTACAAATATTAATACATTTTTTATTATTTTGATGAGTCAATACATACATGTTTTATCATAAAAAATAAATAAAATAAATAAAAATGACTTATTTTTTGGAAAAAGTTCGAGTAAGTAATTCAGACTCTTTATTTTGATAACGATTTTTTTTCATGTTACCTCATACGAAAACAAAGATTTATAGTAAATTATGGTAAAAATCTTTAAGTAGAAATTTTAAACATAATGCATTCATTATGTTCATATCTTTCTAAGTTATACATTTTTTGCACTATAGTTGTCATTCAAGTCACTGAGATAACATACAAATGAACAAATTCGTATTTTCTGGGTGTTCAATAAAGAAATAATAATAAGGGCTCGGCCACGACCTCTTCGCTATCAGCGGCAGCTTAGCGCGGGGCGGCGAGCGGTGAGAACAAATGTGCTAAAATGTTGAATCACGCCACGAAACACCGCACTCGGCGGCAACGCGAGGGATTCTTGCCGAGCGAATCACTGTAGCGGCGCGCGGCGCGTGGCGTGGAGGAAACAAACGTATGCGCGACCAATGCGATGCCAAATTGGCATCGCATTGGTCGCATATTGGCATTGCCAATTGCCATGACACAGAGCGGTGCCGGTAGCGGTAACGCAGGGACGAACTGAACGGCGACTCGTCAAACTAAATATTTTAGACGAATTTGTTGCGGAATTCCGCTGAATATGAACACAGAAGCTTTTATTAAGTAAATTTTAAACCGACCGCCTATATGGATGTCAAAACATCCACAGCATAAGTTTAAAAATGTAATAAAATGGTTGTGGGAAGAATTGAACAAAGTTTTTTAGAAAATGCATTTCACACTGTTCGTGCACTCCTTCTCTTGAATTCAATCTTGCTTAACATATGAATTGCTTTCGAGACAAAGCAGAGCCACTTTGGATAATGCTATTACTGAATACGTTCACCTCGATCACAATCACTTAACGCTACTAGGCGTACGTGGCATGGCCCCCTCTTCGCTCGCGAACCCGCTGCCGCATGCGCTAAGGCCAGAAGTCGTGACCGGACCGTATGAACCCACGATTTTGAATCTTTAATTATTTATTGTTCTTTTCTATAGTTATCCCTGAAAAAGACTGAGTGAAATCTGAGGTCTTGTTATTATAGTTTCACTTGATGCAGAACTGAAATAAAATATGAGAAAAAGAATAAAAGTTTTCTGTTACTAATTTTAGAATAAAATATTGTACGTTACTATCTCTTTTTCTTTAAAATGGCTTAATTATAATTAGCACAAGTTTAGTATATGGAACGCGGCTCCAGGAGAAGTAGGTGGTATTTTTGGATAGGGGAGGTGATAGGGAGTTCAAATATATAAAAATTATTTTGAGGAAACGAAGGAGTCAAAAGTTATGGAGACTTGAAGTAAGAACATTTCCATAGATTTCTATACCTAAATAAGTCATTACAAAAGATAAACATATCTATAACGAATAGGAAACATCCTTCTTCGTGTAAAATCCATATTTTCATAACAATTAAGGCTTTATTGTATTAAAATTTTGATAATTTCACTAAAAACAATAATCTAAACGAAATAATCTTAAATCAAATAACGTCAAAACAAAACTATCAATTTCTGTTTTACTGCTTTCAGGACATAACAGATTATCACTTAATAATTAGTTACGAGTTATGTAAATTAAAAGTTAAAATTGTCATCAGATTACTAAAATTTTAAAATAGAAATGTGTTATTTTCAATTCATGCATGCATTTACGAGTTTTTATTTGATTTATGTAAAATATTGAGTTATTTAATTAATTTACATTTAGCAAAAAAATTTAAACCATTATTTGATTTTATTATCTGTGAATATTTTTCAGTATTTTTGGCGGGTAGTCACTAAATACCGCGAAGTTCCATAGTCTATGTGATAACGATCTGTAATCATTAAACGCGTTTAGGTTTTCATATTTTTGCTCTTTTTATATTTATTTTTCTCATATAATTTTCTAGGAATTATTAGTTTTTGTTAATTTTCGTATACGTTCGTTTCTAGTTTTTATTGTTTTAATAGTATTACTATAGTTTTAAGTGTTCTTAGTGTTCTAAGTGTACTCATGCAGTTTATAAACATAAGTAGACTATTTTTTAATCAAGTGTATTATTAATTTTTGATTAAGTAACAAATCGACTTGGATAACGTAGGTTGATAAGGCTAAGGCGGGAGCGAAGCGTAACGTAGCTTCCGTCTTAGCCTTCTCGTTTCCTCAAAATAAATTTTATATATTTGGACTCACTATCCAAAAATAGTACCCACTTCTCGAGTGGCCGCGTCTCATATACTAAATAGCAGCCTTATAATTAAATTAAATATGTTTTGTGTTTTTTTCAGTATATGTTGTTATTCTTAAGGCTAAAGCTTACTTGGGCTGTTCATTCCAGTACATACGACGACTTAATATTTTATTATTTTCTTCATTTTGTGACTGTAGACATCCATTAGGGTCGACTTTGCTGAAATTTATAAATTAGTACGTAAATTTCAAACTGTACTTATAAAACAGTTATGTGTGCGTGCATGCGTGTGCGTGTGCGCATACATTTTTTTATTATATTTAATATCAAGTTTTTACTTACTCATTTAAAAGACACTTAACTAAATCCTTATTGCGGTAAGTACTCGTGAAGAGAAAGGGCGGGACACACTCTAAGTTTTGGTTTACTCTAAACACGGATGCTACCCCAAGCACTGTTTCTGTTCCGTTTATCCAGGAAATCAAGGGACCGCCGTGATCATTCTTTAAGAAATAGGTGCTTTTTAATTTTAAAAAGTATCAATCGTTTAGAGGTTACAAGGCTTAGACTTTAGACAGTCGTTTCTAGTGCTTATTCAAAAGAATCGTATTTTATTTTACTTTTGTTTTCTATAAAGACAATAAAATGTTCATGTGGCAAGGCATTAAGTATTACGTTACGCGTGAATTGGGTTACTACGGGTACATGTACATACAAATTAAGAAACCATGCTCAGATGAAACGTAGTAATCGGAAGTGATGGAACTTGGTCAAAAATACCTACAAATTATAATGGAAGCTGAGAGAAGTGCGAAGGAGGAAGAAAATTCTTTGTTTTAAAATAAACATTAATTATAACTATACTGTTAGGTTAGAAAAGGTAAGTTCTTTTTTTAGGTAGGAACTAACCTAACTAAATACAGGTTTTATTGAATCGAACTTAGGTTCATTGTGTAAATGCTACTAGAAACAAATGAGCGGTACTCTTAGAAAAATTTGCACTTTTACCAATGAACTGGGCAAATAAATTATTTTTAGAATAATTAAATTAATAAGATTAAATTATAGTACAGAAAAAAATTCGACTGCATAAAAAGCAAAATATATAAAGGAGGGAACAAGTTATCAAAAAAAAAATAGAAGTATTATGCAGTCGAAGTCTGAATATTATGAGTGAAAGACAGCTACAATCGAAATCGCTGAAATCGTGCAGTCACGAAAGTTGCATGTTGTCACACGTTTGTGTGTGCCAGATTTCAGCTCAATCGGACAATGGGAAGTGGGTCAAATTTAACTAGCAAGATTTGATTACAGACAGACACCGAGACAGGTGAAACTAAATAAAAGCTTTAATAATTTTTATAATATATATATAACACGTGTTGCGTATATAGAAATACCGGAATAAATATCTTGAATATAGACATCTCACTATGCTAAAAGTAGATTTAATTACTAACTTCACACTGTAGTCTAAATCTGTCGCATCGTAAAAAAATCACTCTAATCATCCATTTTTCATTTTTCATCATGCACCAAAAGAAGTATAACTTCAAAATGCTATAAAATACTGTTGAGTTGATTTGGCTGAAACTTTGGTTAATTATATTATATGTCGTTTGTAAAACGATGATGATTGAAAGTTTATATGGACAGAATAAAAGAAGATGGAAAGAAGCTGCGAATTTAGGTTGAGACATATAGGTATATGGTTAAACATATTAAACAGCGCTTAGCTTAAACTGAAAACGCTTCTGTCGAACACCGGCGCACCCTGGTAACAGCTAAACTCAACTACTTTTTTTTTTAATAATTAGGGTTCAGCGCAAAAAAATTAAAATCCATTAAATTGTGAACTAAATCCGCATAGGTACCTAGAGATGCACCCAAGCGAATCGAGGATAAGTCGTTCGTCTACCGATATGAAAATACCTATATGGTATTTAAAAAATCTGGTTGATATTGTATCCAGTGTGCAATCTGTTGAACAAATAAAAATGGACATTCGGATTTTTTTAGTCTTCGTGTAGTGTGTAGGGTAACAAGCACGGGGGACACGGCTAAATAAATTTCTGTTTTTCTCTCCCTGGACGAAAAGCTAGGTACGCCCATGACAATGTATATATATATATATATATATATATATATATATATATATATATATATATAATGTATGTACGTTTAACTGCCTCGATGGTGTAGTGGCTAGCATGTACGGCTGCACACCCGGAGGTCCTGGGTTCGAGTCCCGGGTCGGGCCAAGTTTAGTTATTGAGTCTTTCTGTATAGTAAGTCTCAGTAACAGCCCGGAGTTGGGAAGTTGGCGGTGTTTCACCCCCGTGCCTCGGAGAGCACGTAAAGCCCTCGGTCCTGCGCCTTAACTCTCACCGGTCGTGTCGAGTGGTCGTCCCACCGGAGTATGGGAGCGATAGGAATAGAGAGTGCAAGTGTTTCTGCGTGTACACTTGAGCACTATAATATCCCCTGCGCAGTTGGCTAATCTCAATGAGATTGGCCGTCGTAGCCGGAATCGGCTAGGAGAACATCATCATATATGTACGTAGTACGACACGCAGCAAGGGTGAAACGTATGACTCCGACTGCATATTACCATCAAAATTAACGAACTTAGTTGTGAATCGAAAGTGTGTTACCTGACATATTCCTGGTTTACTTCCTAAAATTTCTGCATCAGGGTTAGTTTTACTAACGTTATCTATGATTGCATCATCAGAATTCACATCATAGTCTGTAAAATATTCCAATTTCTGTAGGTAAATCAAAATTGAACAAATTATTTTAACTAGCATTCGACCATTATTGAAAATATGAGGAAAATATCATTGATAGCTACTAAATTAAAAAAAAACAAAATCGGTTGACAAACAGAGGAGAAAAAGATACTGAATTGTATTGTCTTTGCATATTATATACATACATACCTGGGCCACCGAGCTTCGCTCGGAGTTTTTGCTCAAAGGTAAAATTTTCTTTTAAAAAAAAACTAAAAACTTGAATGAATACAAACAAAATATACCTTTGGGATTCGAACCCGGGCACCTATCTTGCGCCTTGGCCGCTTGACCATGATGCTTATGCCCGAGTGTGCGAAATTATCGACCATATTTTGCGTGCAATAATGCGAAAGAAAACCCGCATCAAAATTCAAAAACACGCGTTTTCCCAGACACAAGACTAATCTAGATCGATTTATCGTCCCCGAAACACCCAGTATTCTGAATTTCATGAAAATCGTTGGGGCCGTTTCCGAGATATATATATATATATATATATATATATATATATATATATATATATATATATATATGTTTATATAAAATATCTAAGACTTTAACCGATTTACCAGTTAAAATGATACATTCAATTTACAAAACCATCGTAATCATAGATAGGTACCTGCTTAATGATAAAATAAATGATTGTAGTCGTACCATTTGTTCTAATTCAGGGACATATTGGTGAGTTAAATCAGTAGCCCCAGAATCATACAGTAGACCGTAGTCATCGGTACAGATCATATATTTGTCAATGATATTAGATAAATTAGGTTTTATGTAATACTTTTTGCACTCATTTTTTGGATATATAATTGTTGGGCCATAGAGAAGTTCCTTAACGTTATGGTCTCTTTCATCCTCTTCCTAATAAAATAAAAAAAATAGATAATAATAAATATGCCTATTCTATTTTCAATATGTTGTATATTATTCTGTATAGTTTGCTATAATTTTATTTTGTACTTGTAAACTTTTTCTGTTTTTAAGAATTTTCAATGGAGTGACTCTAAATGATTACGTAATCTATAAATTAGTAGGAAGTAACCGATAAATAGAAAACTAATTTTATTATATTTTAAAAATTATTTTCAAGCTAACCATTTAACCAGTTTTTTTACAAATCATACTTACATAGGGTTTTAAAATTTTAATTAGAGTAAGTCAGGGGGAGACGCCTATAAGGTACAGATGCCTACAAAATTAAAAAATACGTCACAGTCGTACAGTCGAAAGTTAATTGTCAATGTGGAACTTTTTTATACGCAAATAATGCACTTTTAATTAAACCGTTAGAATATAATCTTTGAGATAGTTGGCAGTATTTTCTTCCCCCTAAACTCATAATTTAAATAGAATTAAATTTTTTCATAACCTAGCATTGTGATGTTTTGTTAACAATTCACCATTTTGTATTGCAAATGAGTCGATAAGCATCTCTCACTAACGATCAAAGAGTATAATAGTAATGATCGAAAAAAATGCCCAATAATGTTTCAGTGTTAGATGCCCAGTAAATATTAATAAGTTCCCCCCAACGTGCGTTCACCTTGTCTGCATAAAATATCTATAAGTCTGCATATAATAAATGCACTGGGAGGTGGCCCACCTTGTTGGGCGCTGTACCATGCAGGTTGCGCCTGGTACTTCTCTGAGGACAGAGTAGACCGTGGCAGCAACCCCATGGTTGTTGTGCTCTGCTTAGGCAGACCTGACGACGAGGTGTCGTGGTTGAGTTAGTAAGCGATCCTACGACGCCCCATTAAGACGGGGGAGGTTTTGTTGTATCTTAGTGGGTAGTACTGGATTTTCTAGCCGGTGAGTCCCACATAACCACCAGTAAGTTATTAAGTGGTATGCATAAAAAAAGGATATGATTGAATTAAATCTTTTTTACACAGAAATCCGGAAGTTTCATTAACAAAATCGGTAGGAGTGTCTCTACAAAGAGCTAAAGGAATGACTACAGAGGAATCATTGAGAACGATCATATATTTTGTCTCCATGATAATTCACCAAAAAAGGGACATAGAATACAAAATGCTTGGAGATGTTTGCGTAGTGTGTGGAGAGTATTATAACGCCACTAAGAAGAAAAAGTAAGTAGAAAATATGTGACTTCCAGTCAAAATATGTGACAGTTTGTTCATTGCAAAATATGGTTTCATGAAGACTGCAGTGATGACTGCTGAATAAATGCTTAAAGTGTAACGTCTGATTATGCACTAATTACTCGTGGGCATCTATCCCTGATATCTATAGGCAACTAATCCACATGTCTAAAGTAAGATGCCTATTTTTTATTATAAATAAAAAAATTTTTAATCTAAAATATATTGCACAATAGTTCAGAATTTTATCTGAATGGCATAAATAAACAGTAATTCAAATAAACTATGCGTATTTTATCTAGTATCTTACATATATAATTGATATTGTTATTTCAATTCATGTTATTGCAACTCTCCCTGACTTACTATACTTATTACCTATATTTATTATTACGTTCAACTATGGTATTACCATTCGCCATTTGCTTGTATGCCCCCATCCCAGAACAATCGCTTGAGTGCCAGGTTTCTCATTCTGCTTGTCAAAATTGACATCGATTTTATTAGGTGGATAAGAGCAGTATTTTGTAAAATTTTGATCGTCGAAGCGATACTGTTTGTCAACTTTCACCACAGCTATGTCGAGTGCGGACCACTTCTCTATATTACTGTAGTCCAGTTCGTACGCTAGAAAATTGAAAATATATGACCAACCAATACTTTAATATATTTTTAGCAAGTATTTATTATACTTACTTAAGGTAAAGTCACAATTCTGAAGACCCTATAATATGAAAATAGGAGAAGCGAAACAGTACCTGTTAAAAGAAGTTATAACGCTTCAAAATCACTTAAAAGTAGTTATTTCACTCTTAGGGTTGGAGTTTTTATAATTTATCACGTGATTAATTACCACCTCTGAGGTATCTATTCATTCAAAAGAAAATTATGAAAACCGAACCACAATTGTTGAAGTTGAAGATGAATTGAGTACCTCTTCCTTTTTAAAATAGATCAAAATTTACAGCACAGGAGATAGGCGAAACTTGAAAAAAAAAGTCAAAACCTTACATAAAGGTACATAAGTATCAACAATCTTTCTTTTCATGTTTTTAGTGCATTCATTTTTATCTAAATCTGATAGCTTGACGTATTTATGATAGCCAGCTATCACGTAAGCCTTCTCCACATCTTCTATACAGGCAGCCGAAGTTAGCACCAAGAAAGGATGAATAATAGCACCTCCGCATATCCAACTGTCGTAGTTGCGAGATGATTCTTCTGCTGGTACTAGATACACCTATATATCAAATATCATTACTACTTTTTTAAAGTTTAATTAGCAGTACCTGTGGCTTCACTGGCGTTCAAACTTCACAATAAAGAGTGCGGGACTTATCTCAATATTGCCAAAAAATTTCATCAAAATTGTTTCAGTCAGTTGAAATCCATAGAGAACGTGCACACACACATCGATTTTTTATACATTTATAAACCACCTTCTTCTTGTCAAACGATTTTCTTTTTAATTTAAAATCAGTTCATGAAATTTATTGTTATCAATAAAAAATTTTCAACCGACATCCTCAAAAAGGAGGAGGTTCTCAATTCGGCTGTGTTTTTTTTAATGTTTGTTACCTCAGAACTCCGTCATTTATTAACCGATTTGGACAATTTTTGTTTTGTTTGAAAGTGTATACTTCCAAATTGGTCCCATTTAAATTTCAAAAGAAAATACCACCCCTAAGGGTGAAAAAATAGCTAATGATGAATTTAACCTACTTCTAATTGTCATATTGACTTGAAACTTTGCATGTGTTTTTATTTCCGTTGATAGTGCAGTAGTTCGGCATCGTTGACCTGATCTGATGGTAAGGCCAGAAGGTGGATAGGCGGAACTCTTCAACGGCTAATAGTAGATACTTTGAGTTTGGGCTTATTTTGTTTGTTTTGACAAGCCTAACACTTTAGAATGGATTTTAGAGACAGAATTTTTAGTGTTTCTAATAAAAGCGAATTTTAGTTTGTAAGTCTTCGAATAAAAGTTGGCATCAAAGTAACTTAAACGGTTTAAGCGAATATTTTATTAAAATACTTTCTTCTTACTTTACTACTACTGTCTACACTAAAAGGGGAAAAATAAATACTTTTTAACAAAAAAATATTATATATTAAAAATTGTTTTTTTTTGTTAAAAAGTTTTTTTGGAAACAGCTAGGTAGTTAGTTATCTATACATATAATAATGTAAGTAAGCCAAATCTGTACATTAGATATTTTTTTTTAAATCTTATTGAAATAAGCATTATTATCGATACAGAGGCCGAATCTATATTTTTTAAATTTTTGTGTCTGTCTGTCTGTTACCGCATCACAAAAAAACCACTGGAGGGATCTTGATAAAATTTGGTATGGTGATAGCTGGTTATTCGGGTCAACATATAGGATACCGCGATTTTTACCGCGGGAAAATATTTCATTTTTGTGAAAAAATACAAAAACTGCAATGTAAGAGTATACTAATGTTATGTAAAACCTAAGAATTTGGTTTTTGGACGTCTGAACGCGGGCGGAGCCGCGGGCAATGCTAATTTGTTATATTATACGACCGCTCAGCGAACACTAACGACTACCGATCCGTTATCGCTATACCCTAAAAACCTTAGGTATACAATATACATATGTACGGCCCGCGTATATACCTACACATATTTTATATAACATATATTTTTGTTTTAAAGTACTTTTTGCTATAGATTACTAGAATACTTTCCTGATCACAAGCGAAACCGATCCTTTAAACGTTGTACTGTTTTAAAGAAGGAAAATGAAAAGAACATAAGTCAAAATATAGTTATTACTATATTAATATTTTATTATCCTATTTTGATCGTATGTTACATATAAGGTGGCTAGTTACTCCTCAGTTTTTATATTTTTGTTCTAGACATCATGTAGTTTCGTAGATAACAAAAATTGTCACCCAAAGAAATGCTTCTTTGTGAGTTTGACTTTAAATTCTAATAGACAAGTAGTCAACAGTAGTGCCTAGTAATAAAAATGGATAAGAGTAGAGAGGGTGGAAAAATTAGAGGTGAACAAATTTTCCGTACTTCTCTAATCTACGGATCAGAATGATTGCTATTTACATCGTAGGTAGTTCAAAACATCGGGCAAGCGTGAGTCTGACTCGTACACCAAGAGCTCCATAGTATAAAAGATATTATATTCATGTTATATTTTAATGAGTTAATTCAAATTTAACTATTTAATAACATTTTAAGTAAATAATTTCTTACCATATACCTTTTCTCAGTTCCTAAGTTTTTCCCACCGGTTATACGGCGTTGAGAGAAAGAATCTATAAATATAACAATATTATTGATATGGTTACAAGATGTCATTATATGATCGTTGAAGATAGAAATCAAAAAATATCGGTACATATAAGGGAATGACATATTACGATTCTATGACATAACGATTAAATTTATCATTTACTGTACCTATTTTTTTTTCTATTCTTCAACGATTGTAGAACTATATCATTTCAAGCATTCAAGCATCATATAATATTTTTCTAATTGTCGTTGTGTTTGATTCTTATAATTTAAGCCAACCTTTACAGTCTACTAAAGAAGTAACTAGATACTTTATATTCAATGCAGAAGTAGGTTAATTTGCGCTCGAGGCACAAATCCGATTTCGCTTCCTTAAATTTTTTTAGTATTTAAAAATACAGCTCTATTTTGGTATGTATTGATTTAAATTGTTTAATATACTTAGTAGGACCTAGTACTTAGTCATTGTAAATGAATGTTACGGTTATTTGATATCATTTTTTAATTTATTTTTCATATAAATGTTAATTATAAATTTTCCCTAATAAATATTTACTTACAATGTAAAATGGTTATAACAAAAACGTGCCTCAATTGCAGTGATAACATCTCTTATGTAGCATTTGCTTTATGTTTTCACGTTAGGCTTGACCGCGTTTAATAAAACGTTTAATTCAACTCTGAAATTAATTGGGCTACCTTGGTTTGTTATTTTTAAACAAGTTGTATTTTTTTAGTAAATACGAGCATCTTACCCTTACTTCGCTCGGATGCATCTGAAGGCCATTTGTAGCTACAATATTCACTACTATATAAAGGAAGCGCTACCTTATTTATGTGTATGTATGCGTATTTAGCGTTTTTTTAACGTGCCACTACAGGGAACGCCCTGCCTTTAATACAGAGGAGCTTAGACTATAATCCACCACGCAAGCAAAGTAAGGGTTGGCGCCGGCAGTAGGTATTTATTATAGCGTATAACATTATAGCGTATTTTCCCGTGGGAATGAGATAATCTCCCGTGATAAAAAATAACTTATGTGACTTTCCAGTTTCCAACTATCTCCACACAAAAAATCACGTCAATCCGTCATTCCGTTACGACGTGAAAGAAGGTCAAACAAACAAACACACTTTCACATTTATAATATGGATAGACATTACAGAGCTTTTAAGCATTACATATTACTCCTCTTTATTATTATACAACTACGATTATAAAATATTTAATTATAATACTTATTATTATTTTTTAATGTTTAGAATTAAAATCGACAAATATTGCAAGGTGGTGCCATTTTTGAATTTTTGAAATCATTTTGTAAAATTGTGCGTAGGCAATGTCTGTAATGTATGTATATATAATCAATACTAATATTATAAATGTGAAAGTTTGTTTGTTTGTCCTTTTTTTTACGTCGAAACGGAATGATGTATTGGGGTATTTTTTTGTGTGGAGAAAGTTGGAAGGCTGAAGAGTGACATAAGCTACTTTTTACCGCGGGAGAATATCTCAATCCCACGGGAAAACACGTTATATTATAACCCACAAAATACTCTCGTGAGCAAAAAAATCGACTCAGACGACACATCTGTAGTCGCAAGTCACTGGAAAAAAAACTGAAAGCAAATATATTTTTTTCATAGTAAAATCTTAAAGCTGCTAGTATTAGCTTCAAAATGATACAAAATATTGTAAGGTTTATTGCTCACACAATCCAACAATATGTTGTGATCAGTAATCACCCTTTTTACGCTTGTTTACAATAGTGCTAATTAAGTACTGACCCACGTAAAAGGTTATCTACCTGACCCACCCTTATTAGTTAGCCGTCAAACGTCAACCGATACACATCTCCGTTATCAACAATCAAGAATTCTACCTGAAAATGGACACAACAAGCGATTTAGCAGCTCAAGCGATCACCCTATTGCGGCAAGGCCAGAGTCAGCGTGAAGTGGCACGTGCACTGAACATGAGCCAGTCTGCTGTTTCCAGAGTTTACCGTCGTTACCAGGAGACTGGTGGCTTTAATCGAAGACGCGGTTCCGGTAGAAAAAGGTGCACATCAGAGAGAGATGACCGATTTATTGTCAGCACATCGTTAAGAAATCGGGCCCTCACTGGCGTTCAAGTCCAACAAGAGCTCAGAGAAACGCGAGGAGTAGCTGTGAGTGGCTGGACAGTCAGAAGACGACTTAAGGCAGCTAGCTAGGCTTGAGCCAAAAAGGCCAGCTACTGGCCCCAAATTAACCCCAGACCACCGAGCAGCCCGCCTACGTTTTGCTAGAGAACATGTTGATTGGACTGACGAACAATGGAGCACCGTTCTCTTCTCAGACGAAAGTAGAGTGTGCTTGCATGGTAGTGATAGAAGAGGACGAGTCTACAGAAGACCTGGGGAAAGATTCGCGCAGTGCTGTATCAAAGAAAATGTTGCTTTTGGAGGAGGTTCCTGGATGGTGTGGGCCGGCATTTCAAGCGAGGCAAAAACCGAGTTGGTTTTTATTGAAACTGGCGGTCGAATGGGAGGATTGACGGCGATCCGATACATCGAAGAGATTTTAGAGGATCACGTCGTTCCCTACGCCGGTTTCATTGGCGAAAACTTCGTCCTAATGCACGACAATGCCCGTCCACATACTGCAAGTTCCGTCCGGCAGTATTTACAGGAGGTCGCAATTGCCGCTATGGACTGGCCAGCGCGTAGCCCGGACTTAAATCCTATCGAGCATTTGTGGGATGATCTTAAAAGAAAAGTTCGGGCTAGAAATCCTGCACCAGACACGATGGCGGACCTCAAAGCAGCGCTAATCGACGAATGGAATAGCATCGAACAAGATCGAGTAAGGAAACTTATTCGATCCATGAAAAAGCGATTGGAAGCTGTTATTAGAGCCAAGGGGGGCAACACTAAATATTAAAAAAATAATTTTAATTAAATTATTGTTTTGACGAATTTTACGTGGTATTTTCTTTACCGTCAACCATCACTTTTTTTATTGCTTAAGACTCCATCTCATTCAATATTTTTTCTTTACCAGAAAACATTTTTTAATAATAACATAGACCACTCATTTTAAAGCTAAAACAAAGAACTTTGAGATGTTAAAATCAGAAATATAATAAAAGCTTCCAATTTTTTGCTAGAGCTTTTTAACCGCAAGCGTGCGTCCTGAGTCGATTTTTTTGCTCACGAGTGTATTTTGATCAGTATTACTTGAAACTTAGTATTAATCTCTTCAATACAATTAAATAAATACGTGCGTTTTAGCACTTTTCGAAAATCATCCCATAAGGGGGTAAAATAGGCCAGGTATGTTTGTATAAAACCTGCCTTTTTAGTTTTTTTTAATTTTAGCGCGAGCGAAGCCGCGGGTTTCTTGTAGTGTAATATCATAATGCCTTTGAGACGTTTTAAATAAAACGATACGTGATTATTATTTATCACAGTTTTAGCAGTATTAATTAGCACAGTTCTAAAAAAATACAAGATTTTGGCCCAATGAAGAAACAGAAAAGACAAAATGAGAGCAAAAATTAAAAGTACTAACTAAAAAAAACAGAAAATAACATTAAAAAACTAACATGAAGAGTCAAGAGTTTACTCTTTTTCCTTTAGGAAACAGAAATTTAAAGACGGCTTTACAAGGAAATGAAAACGAAGTGGAATTTTATTGTATAATGGGCAATGTAAAGTATGAATCCCCACCGACAGAAGAATGAATCATGTACGCCATTTCTAAACTCTGCGCACATGAAAAATATACTACCCGGCAGACTAGTAAAGGTTACGTGTGTGATATGTGCCACACAACTTAATTGTAGTTTATTATAAAGATTTAATTGTGTCAGTCCTAACTACTTGGTCTTAATTACCATATAGGGTATAGGGTAAAAAGGAACGGCAATGTTTTTGTTTTCATTCATTGTATTTCTAATAAAACGTTAATCTTTAATATATTTTTTAATAATAAAAAGTTAATTGTGTTTGTGACTTTGTTCTATTATTTTTGAGTGATAGAAGTTAAGTGTTCTCAATTACCCCACTTTGCCTAATGGTTACATTCATGGCTCGTTCTTTATCCGTTGAATTTAAAAATTGAACGGGTTTCCGAGCCCTGGGTTTGGGATTAATGACCTAAACCGGTTTACAAATTCGGTTTTCGATCCCTGATCTATATCTATCTGTATATTTTAGGTTAATCAGCGTAGAATACCCACGAACAACTGGCCAAATGCCGGACTTTATGTATTATATATTTTTGAAGGACTTGGTAGGATCTCTGAGACATGCAGGTTTCCTTAAGATGTTTTCCTTCACGTAAGGAAAGTAGTAATCATGTTTGAAATGATTTGCGCATAAAAATATGAGATACCCGGGATTTGAAACCGCTACTGGGATTACACAGTGATATATATTAATATACTTACATACTAAATATCGCTCTTATAAAAAAGCAGTCATGAGGACTGCCGACACAAGTGAAAACTTAAAACTATAAACAAACAGTTGTTGTTTTTGGATATTCAAATTGATCTTAAATTAAAATTTGAAAATAAAACTATATTTATCTGGTTTTAACGTCTATCGGCACTCTTGAGTGTTAGCGTTAACACGCCACATATCGACATGGTAACGTCACGTAACCATGTCGATGACTACTTGCATGAATTTACTCCCCAACCAAAACTGCCTATAGAAGTTTTCACTTCAATAATAAATGAAATTTTTATACGCTGTTACCATTTTATTATATGTACAGATAAAAAAGGTTTAGGTAAACAAATAAAACATTCGATTATCTAATAATAAATCTGACATTTACTTTACACGATTAAAATATAACATTATAATTATATCACTTAAGACGTTGTGGTCGAAAATTATCTTTTCTTATGTATATATACATACAAAAAACTATCAGAGTTATGTACTATGGGATATAATAATACGCTTTACAAAATTTACATACAATTTATTAAACTTACAACAACAAAGAACACCGGATATAAAATGTTATGGACTCTTTTTTTTAAACGCCATAGATAATATAAAATTGATTATCTGTATTCAATATAACAATTGCCGCCAAAATTTTTATATGCAATAAGTAATTTATAAAAATATTAACGTTACGTATTCAAAATTCGCTATTTGATATATTTAAGCTTATTTTAAAATTTCAACGGCAATTGAAAGTAAAATTTAATTTATTTTTACATTTTACAATTAGAAAAAAACAACAACAATGATTTTAATAAAAAACATCAAATAATATATTACCTATGTCATATTGAGTTAGAAAATATAAAGATCATTTAAACATACTATAGAAAATTGTTGGTTAATTAAAATTAAACCTTTAGTTTCTTAAAATAAGTGTCTATTTTGAACGTATCTACTTAACAATAATATTTTTCAGTTTTGATTTCGATTTAGTTTTTTTTTGTATATACATCCGCCATTCAGACGTTTTATATAAAACTTTGAATTAAAAAAAAGAAAAGGAATTAAAAATATTACAAATTTACATTTTTAAGATAAAATTTTATAAGATCTTGAAATAAATATCATTTTTTTTTTGTAAATAATATTTTTTTATAACTTGTATTATATGAAACAATAAAGGTTATATTTATTTTTCCTTATTAGAGAGCTATCAAAACTGAAAACTTAATACGAAATCCTTTAACATCAGTCATATTGAAAACACATTAATAATAACTTAGTCACCTAGTATTAGTAGAAAATTCTGGAATAACGTTCGTATATCACAAAGTATTCATATTTGGAAATTGCAAGGATAATTTTTTTCTTTAATTTTTATTGTTTTTTTTTTAATTATTATTAAAATTATGGCAAAAACAATGGACTATTTTTGGAAAAATAGATATTTTTTTTATATAACAACAATAATGTGATGTTAGGCGCTAGTTATGAGCAAAACATTGAGACGTTTTAACGTGGTTTTTCAAACAAACTTTGTTTTAGTGAAATGGACAGGAAAATAAGAAAATTGACAGTATTTTTATGAAACTATATTTGAAGTTATACTTCTTTTGGCACGTTTGGAAATAAATATGAGAATAAAAATTTTGCGATGCGCGCGCACACCGACAGCCAAAAAGCGGCATGATGAAGTTAGCTGCATTTCTTTTACAAACTGAGTTTTGACATGCGGAATAAAATATTTAGCTATTTTTGTTCTGTTACGCCAAAGAAGTATAACTTCTTACATGCGTACATAACATACACACGCACGTTTTGTTGTTATTATAAAACATTTTCTTGATAGACTATCCCCAATTTTTACAAAATTTATTCTTTGATATTTTTTAAATATTTATAGCATTTACATAGCGGAAACCATTTTTTAACATAATGGACGCGTGTAACTTTTACTATTTGAATAAATAATTGAATAATAATGCTCCATAAGCATCAAAATATTGTTAAATCATAATAAATTCAGTAATATGAAATGAACTCTATTATTTCAGCAATAAGGCCTATTTTCTAACACGTGTGTAGATATTCTATCTCAACTATGGTGTCAAATTAAAATAAATCTTATTTCACTAACAACAAAGTTTATTTTATATTGCATCCGCGACAATATGCAGACTCATTCATTAAAGTTCACTTTGTAACAGCTTGATCTACAGCTATAATTGTTAGGAAAACGCTAACTAATATGATCCTTATCACGCGAATAACAAAGTCTATTTTTGCGTGTATTAGTGAAGTCTTTTTATTAGTTTAAACAAACTTGAACTTTATTTGAAGGCAATAAAGTTTTAATCGGCGTGACTTATTTCACTGTTAACAAAGTCTATCAAACATCATAGAGAACGATTTAATCTGTCAGCGCAAAAATAGCATAAGCTTTAGGTAAAGAAGTATGAAATAATTAAAATGCAGTTACTTTTGCCTTTTAAATCGAACCACTCTGGCATTAATTTAAAGTATAATTTTAGTACATAAATAAAATATTATACGAGTTTTTAAGCCTACTCATAATGTTTTAAACACAAATTATTAGCATCAAAATCAGTCTATCAATAAGATTTTGTGTGATATAAAAAACAAACAAAAAGACAAAGAACCTTTTCTTTTTAAAAAATATAATCACATTAAATCACAAATAGAACTTTCTGTAACATAATTTCAATGAAAAAAAAAACTATTTTTGCGCTAACACATTAATTATATAGTCTATATGAAATTGAACCCTATTGCTATGAAAATAAAGCTCATTATTAATTTCACCGATGCTGCCTTCGACACGCACGCGCTGTAGACTGGAAACACTCTTCGCACACTCGGACAGGCTTCAGTTGTCCGTATCTGGGCAAGGGTATGGAGTTCGAACTGCACGATGCGCAAAATACTTTGCCTGCGAACAAAATGCATCATTTAATTACTATTCGTCGCCTTATTTGTTCAAACTACCAATACTTGTTGTACTTTACAGTAGAGAGTTTTTTCCTCTATTTTTAAAACAAAGCCTTATTTCCTACAATAAGATTTATATACATGTATATGTAAAATACTAGTTAGGCTTTTTAAAGAAAAATATGTTTTATTTTTATTTTATACCAATAGAATTGACATTTAAAACTCAAAAATTGTGTAAAAACTCATTCCGCAAATTGGTAGTCTGGACAAAAGAGCATTCTCAGTGCGACGTATTGGTATTATGTGTAGGAGTGGGGCGAGAGAGTCGGCAAGATTTTTTTTAATATTATGTTAAATACATAGTATTTAAAAACAATCTTGTGGCATACAGTGCAGCAAAAATATTTATGATGGCTTGTGGGATGCGGGGAGGCTGAAATACATACATTGTGAAAAAAATGGTATATGTAATTATTTTCCTATAATTATTTTGGTAAAATTAAATAATACTTAATAATAATACTTTGTTAGATTTACAAGAATATTTGTCATTTTTTATAAAACTATCTTTTCGGATTTTTTCGCGGATTTATTTTGATTTTTGGTTCCCGATGATTCGTGATAGACAAAGAGACAATGACAGAGATAGAAATAATTCCATCTAGGTAAAACAATCTCAAGTATAGGAGTCACAAATAAAAAAACCGCATAAGTACTCGTGGCAGACAGAGACCGAGATAGTGGACATTAAAGAGACAGACATAGATCATAAGTATATTTTTTTTCAAATTAAAAATATTTTTTAGCATTAAATTATTACAATTTTTTACTGAACATCATGACTCTACCACCAGTTCGGAAAGAAAAAGCCTCGTTCCTGAGAACACCTGGCGAAAACAAAGCGAGACTAAAATTAAATACAAATATTAAAATAAAACTATCTATACTAACCACAATTACGACAGTGATGCCTGCGTCGGAAGGCTGTGAAGTGCGCGTCACAGCGCATGCAGGACGGCGCCGCAATGTCCGGCACCCACTCGGGGGCACGCTCTACCACGCCCGCCCCCACGCCCACGCCCGTGTCCACACCCACGCCTGTGTCCACGCCCACAGTGGTCGTGCGAGGTGTTTGTGGTGGGTCCTCGCGCGATCTCATTGTGTCGCGTTCCCTATAAATATATATTTGTTAATTGTTATTCATAATTATTCTACCTCACTATCCCCCATTCACGTCAGTCCCCCAGTCACTCTACACAAAGTCACAATATTATTGAAGAGAAACTTCATTAGAATCGTTGTGATTTGAAACTCGATGAAACGGAAATACGACACTAAAAAGTGACAAACACATATATATAAGATTAAGCCGGCGAGAGAATGCGATAGAATACATTACACAGGAAGTGAAAAATAATAAAATTCATTACTGATTAAAAAGTAATGTATATTCATGTCAAATAAAGTGTAAAATAACTTTTAAACTTGCCACATTATTATAAAAAAAGTAAACCTTATAATTATCCTACTCCTGATACTCTATATTCATCTCATTCTCTCGTAGGTAACTTTTCTGAAGTTTCACTTCTACCATGTGTGAATTGCACACATGCGCACCTTTTTTTATTCTATTATATTTATTATTTTCATTTTTAATTAGATGACCTAAGGCCTTACCATGAACTCTAATAGCATGAATACTATAATCTTACTCAGAGTTTTCGTACCATGACGTCTTAAAAGCAAGTTATTATAAGTCTAGGCGCTTTTTAGGGCTCCGTACTTCAAAAGGTAAAAAAGGAACCAATATAAGATCAATCTCTTGTGCGTCTGTACGTGTGTTACCGCCGGTTTTCTCAAGAACGAGTGGACCTAGCTAGATGAAATTTATACCAGATACTGAAGTCTATAGTTCCTATTAGGTGTATAAAAATCAAGGCCATGAGTCAACACGATAAAAAGATATGGGTAAATTTAGATTTTCGCGAAAACTTGTAAGTACCAAAATTTACCTTAATTTTTAACTTTTTTTATTTTTCGGAATTTTATCTTTACTTGTGCTGTAAGACCTTGCTTTTAACCAAAATTGACAATTCTAGGTCAAACGGAAGTACCCTATAGGTTTTGGGCGAAAACCTATATGGTAGTTCCCGTTGACCTAGGATCACGAAATTTGGCAAGACATTCTAATTCTAGAAGAGAAATTCTAAAAAATGAAAAAAAAAATGAAAATTAAAGTTAAACAGATTTCCTACAAATTTGTACTGAACCCTCGGTGAGCGAGTCCCACTCGCACTTGTCCGTAATTTTTTATATATTCATCATACCTATAACTAAGATCACCAGTGGAGTGCGAAGCTTGCAAATTGCCAGTATCTGAGCGGCGGCGGGCGGGAGGCTCCGCGCTCTCAGAGTTGCTGTCCGCGTACACCTCTTCGGCGGAGTACACACTGTCGAATGAGCTACCTGCGAAGGTATTTGGCTTTAGTTTGGTGTTTTTACTGTACTAAAATATATCATACTTCCATATTAATATTATAAATGCAAAAGTAACTCTGTCTGTTTACCTTTCCAGGGTTAATCAGCTGAACGGATTTAGATGAAATACGGTATGGAAATAGTTTGAGACCCTGGGAAGGACATGGGGTCATCACTTAAGGAGTGAAAATGGAGGTGGAAATTTGTATGGGGAATCAATTATTTCTCAAGTAAGAGATATAAAACTCATCACACCTATGTATATATAGACTATCTATTAAAATTGTTTTTGTTTTCATTTTTAAAATTTGCATGATGGATAGGTTAGTTATTATTAAATAGAAGTTAAAGTATAGTTAAGTTATAAAATAGAAGGATACACACAGTTTTTCACGATTGAAACTTAAAATTGAAAAATCTCGATTAAAAACAATATAAATATTTTTTATATATATTTTTTGTAAAGGTTATCCAAAAGCAAAACTTTTGAAAAAAAAGTTGAATTTCGACCATTATCAAAGTTAAAGCAAAAGTTATGAGCAAAAAAAAAAACAAAAAAAGAGCAGCTATGTACTAGTGATCAAAAAATCTCAAAATTTACCGGGAAGCCTCTTTTGAAGGGTACAAAACTTACCAAAATATTAAGAAAATTTACAATCTACGTTACTTGATGTTAATGCTACTATTATAATACCTGGTGACAATTTTTATGAACTAATTTACGAGCCAAGCGCAGACAACGAAAGGAGCTTCGCTCATACCGGGCGTCCCACGACATTGACTCATTTTTTAATGATTTAGCTAAACTTAAGTGTATATATACAGAAATATAAGCAATTATTAAGATACCATAGTTACAATAGTATACGAAATACGTCAGAAAATCATGAATCATGGCATCATGACGAACCTACCACAGGACCCGAAAAAATATGTAAATAGACCATATATCTATAAAATTTAAGATTATATTTATAACCTATAAAAGCATAATATATTTATAAGTCACCAACCATTTTGTATGACCTGGTCTTCAGTGGGTTGATATTCTATAGTGTTTTCTTCTGGTTTCGTCTCTTCAGGCAATTCAATGGTCTGGTTGAGTAGGAATACAGCTTTTAATATGTTTCTGAGATCGGCTGCAAAATTAGTTTGTAGTTGGTCCGCGACACCCGCGATACAGACAAACAAACGGTGGATGAGATCTTCGCTTGATCTGAAAAATTTATTAAAACAATAAATAAATATTTTGTTTCACGTATAGATTCAATTTTGTCGTATTTTTAAAGGTCTGTCTGACATAAGCTAAAACTTTCGATATATTCATTCACCTCGTAATTCTATTTATCCACAATATATAAATAAATACAATAAATATCGCTTGTCGTGGTAGCCTTTAAGTAGAACAATATTTACCCATTGTAAAATTTAGACATGTAGGTTTTGCACGATGTAAGTGTATGTTCTGTTGGCTAAATAAATAAATAAATACATTTTAAATAAACAGGTAACTGACTTCAAAATTAGTAAAGTAATCAATTATTCCACCCCTAGGAGTGAAATTGGTCCTTAAATTTTTATATATTCAAAATTCAGGCATGACCTATTCTACTGATTACAATTGTTGATAAAAAGAAGTATACACCTAAACCGTGGAACTCCTTTCAGTCAAAAAAAGAACTTTAAAAGGACACAAACTAACTTGAACTTGCCCCGCGCCTGCTGCCTCGCGGCCAGCTCCTGCGCCTGCAGCGCTAACGCGATCTGCTCGTCGTCTGCACACTCTGCATTCCCGCATGCACTGCTACTGTAATTTTACATACGCTATTATCTAATCGAATAACTTTAAACGCGCAATTCTTATATATTTTAAATAAAACTATCTCTAATCAGACATTGATTTGTAACAAGTATATAACGCCTTTGAGAAGTCTATAACCTTAGTCTCTCCCGTGACCATGATTGCTGTAAAGCATTCGAAACGTCGGGAACCAAAAATCAAAATAAATCCGCAAATTAATCCGAAAAGATAGTTTTATTTAAAATGACAAACATTCGCGTAAATCTAAGAAAGTACTTCTTATATATTTATTTATTTAAATACACCGGCGATCTAGGAAACGGCTCTAACGATTTCGCTGTAATTTGGTATGTGCGGGTTTTCGGGGACGAAAACTCGATCTACATTAGTCTTATGTCTGGGAAAACGCGTGTTTTCGAGTTTACATGCGGTTTTCTTTCGTATTATTCCACGCAAAATACGGTCGCTAATTTTTCACGCTCGCGCAACATTGACAATCACAGGTGTCCGGGTTCGAATCCCGGTCGGAAACAAAGATTTTACTTTTTTTTGTATTTATTTAAGATTTTAGTTTTTTTTTTGTTTTTAAGCCAAAAAAAAAATTGTCTTTTGCCTAAAATAATATATAACTTATTAACGCACTGTTGACACGCGTTTATATCGACACTAGCTCGCATCGCTTCGGCTCGTCCGTAGTGATAAACAAAAGCAAACCTAACCGACGCAAACTCTACATTTTTCCGGGATAAAAAGTAACCTGTGCTATTCCAGACTATAATCTATCTCTGTGCCAAATTTCATCCAGATCCGTTCAGCCGTTCTGGCATTATTGAGTAACAAACATCCATCCAAACTTTCGCATTTATAATATTTGTGGGATTATCTGCATTATCGCATGTTATCTGTATTTTTTACTCTTTACGCGCGCTTCTATAAAACATAATGTGCATAGAACAAATGAAACTCGAAAGTGATCGAAAATTCGAAATGTTATAAATTCGTAAGAAGTAGCCATTACTAGCTATTAGAATTCCACAATTCATCTTCAGATCAGCTCAATAGCAGCAATAGTGTTATTATATTGTCACATTAATTTTACAATATACAACAGTTAAAAATTATTATGAAATTATTTCCATGATTTGATTACTTCGCTACAACTAGTCAATAAACATTTGCAACTAACCATAGAACTCACCTTTCATCAACAAAATGGTCAAAATTCAATCTCAACGGGCTATTCTGGCTCTGAGTTGACCGGTTATCTAATATCACATTTCCCGGAGACCACATTTTCTTCCTCTTTTTACTCTTTGCACTCGACTTTCTACTTTTCCGCCTCGTATTTTGACTACAATTGGGCACTTCATTGGACATATCTTTCACTAGCGAACTTATTTTCTTGTCAGAATCTCTATATCTTCTTAACTCTGTTAACACATCTATGGTCCTAAATTCTTCCTGTGGGTCATTCGCACCCCAATGCTGTAGGCTGGAGGCTTCGTTTAACTCTTCCCTACTCAGTCTCACGTTTTCTATATGAGATGACCCCGCTTCATTCTTCTGTGTGTCATCTTCTACATATTTAATATTAACAATCTCATCTGTCACTTCAGAAAAGGAACGTTCTAGGGTGTTAGTGTCTTTTTCGTCTATTTTTTCTTCTGCCGGACTTTTTAAGACTCTATTCTGTTGCATGAAGTGGTTTTCTTTATTTTGGTCGGTATCCGGAGATCTGTCTAGACTTGTATTTTCTGTACTAACACCTGAATCGACCGGTGACTCGTTATCACTCTCATATCCAAGCATAAATTTGACCCTTTCATCTTTATCCATCGCCATTTTCTCGGGATCATCACAAAATGGCGACTCATCGTCTGTACCATTTTTAAAACTCTGTTTATATTCTTGGTTGTATTCTTCATCTAGTAATATAACACTTAAGCTAACATTAGCGATGGCCATATCGATATTCACGATTTCAGCATCGATGCTAGGCATTATTAGTGGTGTATCGGAACTCATTATGACTCGATTAAAATTATTCTCCTCCTCCTGATTGAAAACAGCAGAATTATTGTGTGAAAGTGACGCTAACACAACCGGCTCTTGACTAATGGCATTTGGTATTAAATATCCATGACTTGTTGACGGCATACAACTCAGTTGTTCATTTCTTGGTCCAGAAAAGTTATAATCTTGCGATTCATTAGATATGAGATTAGGTACATCGTTAGTCGAGTACGAATGAGTTTGATCGATTATGTCCACATCACTAACTATTGAGGACAATCGATCAGCTATTTCTGTTACTTGTTCGTTTAGTGATGTGACGAGTTCTTGGTCTGGTATTTGTCTATTCAATGTTTCACCCGAAGTCGATGCTGATACCGCATTTATTACTAGCGGATCAAACATCATTAGTCCGTTTGTTGATAGATTTCTTAACGATGACATATCGTTTTCGTTCTTACTTATTTTCCTAGTCCTCTCTATATTGCTTTCGTTTGTTTGGAATGTGTCAGTACTGGTTGTGTCGGTTGAGTGTCTGTCTGTGTGTTTGTCGATATCTTCGGACTCTCTCTCAGATTCGTCGTCTCCTGTGAGACGTTTAAGTCCGTCTATGATGGGAGTCATAACTTCAATATTTCCGGGTAGATAGTCCGCGTCAGTTATCGTTGGTTCACTAGAACTGGAATAAAATGCACAATTTAGAATACAAATTAAAATAGTTCATACTTTTTGATTCGTATATTATTAAATTAATCTTAATTTGAATTGTTAAAAAAATGCAAGTGTGTGCAATTCACACACGGTAGAAGTGAAACTTCAGAAAAGTTACCTACGAGAGAATGAGATGAATATAAAGTATCAGGACTAGGATAATCATAAGGTTTACTTTTTATAGTAATTTTGGCAAGTTTAAAAGTTATTTTACACTTTATTTGACATAAATATATATTACATATTATTCAGTAATTAGTTTTATTATTTTTCATTTCTTGCGTAATGTATCCTATCTCAAATAACAACGGTTAAAAAGGCAACATGGCAATATATTCTATCTCATTCTCTCGCCGACTTAATCCTATATATTTGTGTTTGTCTCTTTTTAGTGTTGCATTTCCGTTTCATCGAGTTTCAAATCACAACGATTCTAAAGAAGTTTCACTTCAAAAACGGTATGTATAATCAATCAAGGAATCGTTATAAAAGCTATCAATTATAAAATTCAGTTTAAGCTAGGTCTTGAGAAAATATAAGTATTCTTTATATATTGTTAATTATAAAAACAAATTATTGTTTACGTACCTTTGCTGCGAATATAAATTTCTACATTGCGCATGGTCCTCATAAAACTTCGATACAAATTCATTAATGTCTGGATAACATGAATCTTCTGTTGAGTCTTCTGCTGTAAAATTACTTATTAACTACTAAAATATACATATTATCTACATACAGTATTTTCCTACTTCTTTGCTTTTACAAATCAAAATATTCTTAGTTATTTAGTCTAAACGGAAATAATAATTTAGGTTCTGGGTAAGTTTCCCTCTTAAAATCAAACTTCTTCTTCTTCTTCTTCACAAAAAAAGTGTGTGTGTACTTATGTACGCATGTAAGAAGTCATACTTCTTTGGCGTAACAGAACAAAAATAGATAAAGATTTCATCCCGTAAGTCAAACCCTCTGTTTGTAAAAGGATCGTCGCTTTCAGCTAACTTCATCATGTAGCTTTTTGGCTGTCGGTGTGCACGGACATCGTATAAATTTTACTCATATTTTTTTCCAAACGTGTCAAAAAAAGTGTAACTTCAAAAAAACTATTTATTATAATATAAACCATACACATCATACCACCTTATAAATATTTACCGCACATAAAAATCTATTTATTTTAAAATTCATCTACTTAACATAAATACAATTCAATCTCAATACTAAGGTATACAAAACAAACACTCACCAGGTGGAATTTCAAAATTAGCCATATTAATATCTTCATTTGAACACAATAACTTCTCAAGCGCCATCAGTTCCCGCCGGTCCAGCGTCCACAGCAGCGACTTGATTTTGTGTAACAAATGGCGGAACGGACGGAACATGTCTGACATTTCATCTGAAAAGTTAAAAATAGAATATATAAATATTTTGATTATACATACACTAGGGTGGAGAGAAAAAAACATTTTATTTATTTTTTCTTAGCTTGTGGGTAGAATTTACAGCTTATAAATAAAAAAAAATCTTAATTTGCAAACTTAGATATTAAAATAGTAGAAAAATTCAAACCGTAATATTAACCAAGCAGTAACCGTATGTAGATTAAATTTATATGTAAAAATGAGTTTCAAAAGAATGTTTAAATACATACCTGGTACTTTGTCTATACTCAATGGACCATTCGAGTATATGAGCAGACCACTGACTATAGCTAAGCGAGGCACTGCGAACATTAGCGCCGGATCATACGAATCCACCTGGAAATTATAAAATGTCATCTAAAAATCTTATTTTATATCAGAAATAATGCACTAAATACTACTAATACGTTTAATGTAAGTCCGGATTATCTTATTTTACAACAGTTATCCTCAACAGAACGAGTTCAAAATTTGCATACACGTTTACTTTAGATGACAATGCATGGTTAGATAAGCGACGTCATTCTAAATCCAACATGGCGGACTCCCAACAATAACAAACTTATGTTTTTTATGCACCCCCATGATATAGATATCAAATGAAAGAGTTTACTGAAAATAATACAGTATAATACAACACTATATTATATAAAAGCTTGTTTATCAAAATGTTATTTATATATATATATTATATATATATATATATATATATATATATATATATATATTATTTTTTTATACTTATTTAGGTCTATATTTTAAGTATTTAATATGGCCACAAATTATTGATATGTCATCAAAATGATTACTTAATTACATAGATACTAATGAGTCATTAGTAATGACTGAGCATATTTGCCACCCATAATAATTATCTATACATATATAAAACAAAGTCGGGTTTGTTACAACACTTATAACTCGTGAACTGTTAGACCGATTTTTATGATTTTTGTATTGTTGGATTTGTCTGAGCCCCGAATAGCAAAATAACATAGGAAAAATTCACGAGAAACAAAATGTGAAAAAATATCTATTCCATACTAAGCGTCAAAACGTACCGCGGGACGAACCTGAGCGAAGCGAGGGCGAGTCGCTAGTAAATAAATAACAATAAGTAACTGTTATTTCCAAGTCAATGACCTTTATTAAGCTAATGTATTTATGTGCATATAACCAAATTTCGAAAAAAAAAACTTATTTTGCAATTTATGGTAAACAATATTAAATTTATGTTAATTTTATGTTCAATCGTAACGCGAAATGACTTTTTTCTGGAAAAGATAAAGTTCTTACAGGATATATGGTATAACGAAAAACAAAGGGTCCATCTATACGTATGTTTTTAGAATGTACTACGCAGTGTTATAAAAATGGGCATAATTGCTTCAATTGCATATTACTCTGTTCGTGTATTTAATACTTTTATGTTTACGACCTTGTGTTTATGTCTTTATTTATACAAACAATAATAAAATTGTTCAAACTAGAACTTGATATACTGTTAAATTTATGTTTGGATAACTTTGTGATATACGCCATAAAAGAAATTAATATTTTTTTCTGTTTCGTCGCGCAACACCTGGAACTGTTTTTATTTTATAATGGCCTAAATCCCTTATTAATATTATAAATGCGCACGTTTGGATGGATGGATGTTTGTTACTCTTTAACGCTAGATCGGCAGAAAAGATCTGTGTGAAATTTGGCACAGAAATAGATTATAGTCTGGAAAAGCACTTCTTCTTCCTGCCCATTTCCCAAATCACTTGGGGTCGGCGCAGTACATCTTCTGTACTGCTGAAAGGATTTGGCAAAAGTTTTACGACCGGCCGCCAGCCTGACGTCAACCCTCCTTGGGAATAGTCTGGAAAAGCACATAGGTAACTTTTTATCCCGAAAAAATGTACGGTTACTATAGGAAAGATTTGTTTTTGTTTCTCACACAATTATAATTTATAACTGGGTTTCAAATCATCGATTGAATAAACCCAAACAGCTTATACGCTTATAGTTTGATACGTTGTCTACGCGTGTCCTCATAAAATGAAAGCGCCATCAAAATCGTAGGCATTACTTTAAAATATATGAAGCAAAGAAAAGGAATTAAAGACTTAAGCTTAAAGCTCAAAGCCACGGTCAATTATTATTTATTAAAATAAATAACCCTCTCTCTAGCGCAGTCGGGTAAAAAATAACTCACTTGTTCTTGCGTCAAAAGGTTCAGTTTCAAAGCTCTCCGCAAACTCTCCGAGAACAAAACGCATATCAGTTGCTGAGCCTCGAATTCGTGTGGCGTCTTCACATTGACCATTGCACTCACGTAGCAAAGCTCAAATTCTGCGAAAAGTCTGAAATAGGAAATATTCGTGACTGTTAAAAGTATATTATTATGTGTAAAGACTTTATAATTTTTTTTAATACAAAGTATTTTTATAACCTTTTTAAAATCCATACGGTAGGTAGGTAGGTGATCTTTGTTACCAACGGTTAAATATAGTTTTCATGGTAAACATTTTTGCAGTTAAAACGCTATCCATCTCGTAGCCATTTAGTTATACGAGGAGCTTCAACCAAAAAGCCGTCTCCCCACTCTCACATTATTTTATGTTAATTCTAAATTTACTTTGGAAATTGACAATAAATAAAAATATCCAAAATAACACATATTTAGAAAATGTTGATAGAGCTACTCTAGTAAACTATATAAATGTAAACATTATAGTATACAAATATTTAAGTCATTCATAACACCCCTATATCTTACAACACTGCGAAAAATATTTAGGTTAGTGTGCAATAACAAAGTGCTATCTGGTTTAATTTACATTGCAAATATTGCAGTTTTCTTTGATAGCCTCGATTAATTTGGTCGTTTGATAAAAAAAATATCGATAGATTCATTTGGATACCAAGACTATTGGTTTTTTTTTTAATTAAAAATAAATCTGAAGTCTTAGTATATAAAACAAAGTATAAAATTAGCTTTTTAAAATTAGCTGGGACACTTATTAACAAAACTTTTAAGAATAAACAATCTGACGCACAATAATAGGCAAATCTATTTTAATGTTTTGTGGTATAACAAATTGAAGACAGTTTATTTGGACGGCAAGAATCAAGGACGAAAAGAGGAAAATATCTCAGTTACCACTTCGCACTAAGTTAAACCGTACAATATCTGCTATGCTTATGTATAGTAAAACGTTAATTGGTTATATATGATAACCCTTTATTTATTTTTTTGTTCGTTCTCTAACATTTTGACATTTCTGAGCCAATTTTCTTATCTAGTTGATGATAGATAGCTTTCGTCTTGATATTTAAAGCATACCACTGTATGGGGCTGTAATGGGGCTTTGTTAGTATGAAAGTAAACGCAAGTGCCCATAATAGAATAATTAGGTATATGCCGTCAATACCATAATATGCATAGGTACTAATTAAGCCCACTACACGATCGGGGCACTACAAAGTCTGCAGTGTGCGGTGAACTCCAACAAGTAGTTAACCGGCTATGTGAACTTGGCACCCGACTTTGGAAAAATTGATCTTTTTTAGGTTTATTTGAACGATTTCGGTTAGTAGTAGATAGTAGTGAAGCTAACTTCGTTTGTAGTAGTGTCAAAAAAAATATACAGACAACAAAAAAAATGTCATCCCCCGAAGTTGGTAAAAAAAATTTTTTCCGCTTGATTCGTATAGAAAAACGTTAGTAGTGGTTTGTAGTGCAATTTTTTTCGTTTGTAGTAAAACAAAAAAAAAATTTTTTTTCGAGTATTTTTCCAGAACCATTTTTACTACATACATTCATTGTTTCGTTTGTAGTACCATTATTTCATTTGTAGTAACGTTAATTTTGGTTTGTAGTACCATTACTTCGTTTGAAGTAACGTTAATTTCGTTTGTAGTAACGTTAATTTCGTTTGCAGTACCATTATTTCGTTTGTAGTACCATTACTTCGTTTGTAGCTGTTTGTAGTACTGTTAATTTCGTTTGTAGTACCATTATTTCGTTTGTAGTTGTTTGTAGTAACGTTAATTTCGTTTGTAGTAACATTGTTTCGTTTGTAGTTGTTTGTAGTAACGTTAATTTCGTTTGTAGTACCATTGTTTCGTTTGTAGTACCATTAATTCGTTTGTAGTTGTTTGTAGTAACGTTAATTTCGTTTGTAGTACCATTATTTCGTTTGTAGTTGTTTGTAGTAACGTTAATTTCGTTTGTAGTACCATTATTTCGTTTGTAGTTGTTTGTAGTAACGTTAATTTCGTTTATAGTACCATTATTTCGTTTGTAGTTGTTTGAAGTAACGTTAATTTTGTTTGTAGTACCCTTGTTTCGTTTGTAGTAACGTTAATTTCGTTTGTAGACCCATTATTTCGTTTGTAGTACCATTATTTCGTTTTTAGTACCATTACTTCGTTTGTAGCTGTTTGTAGTAATGTTAATTTCGTTTGTAGTACCATTATTTCGTTTGTAGTTGTTTGTAGTAACGTTAATTTCGTTTGTAGTACCATTGTTTCGTTTGTAGTACCATTATTTCGTTTGTAGTTGTTTGTAGTAACGTTAATTTTGTTTGTAGACCCATTATTTCATTTGTAGTACCATTCTTTTGTTTGTAGTACCATTACTTCGTTTGTAGCTGTTTGTAGTAATGTTAATTTCGTTTGTAGTACCATTATTTCGTTTGTAGTTGTTTGTAGTAACGTTAATTTCGTTTGTAGTACCATTGTTTCGTTTGTAGTAACGTTAATTTCGTTTGTAGACCCATTATTTCGTTTGTAGTGCCATACAAACGAAATAATGGTACTACAAAAAAATTAACGTTACTACAAACAACTACAAACGAAATAATGGTACTACAAACGATATTAACATTACTACAAACAGCTACAAACGAAGTAATGGTACTACAAATGAAAGAATGGTACTACAAACGAAATAATGGGTGTACAAACGAAATTAACGTTACTACAAACAGCTACAAACGAAGTAATGGTACTACAAACGAATTAATGGTACTACAAACGAAACAATGGTACTACAAACGAAATTAACGTTACTACAAACAACTAAAAACGAATTAATGGTACTACAAACGATATTAACATTACTACAAACAGCTACAAACGAAATAATGGTACTACAAACGAAATTAAAGTTACGAATAATGGTTCTACAAATGAATGAATGGTACTACAAACGAAATAATGGTACTACAAACGAAATTAACGTTACTACAAACGAAACAATGGTACTGCAAACGAAATTAACGTTACTACAAACGAAATAATGGTACTACAAACGATATTAACATTACTACAAACAGCTACAAACGAAGTAATGGTACAACAAATGAAAGAATGGTACTACAAACGAAATATTGGGTCTACAAACGAAATTAACGTTACTACAAACAACTACAAACGAAATAATGGTACTACAAACGAAATTAACGTTACTACAAACAACTACAAACGAAATAATGGTACTACAAACGATATTAACATTACTACAAACAGCTACAAACGAAGTAATGGTACTACAAATGAAAGAATGGTACTACAAACGAAATAATGGGTCTACTAACGAAATTAACGTTACTACAAACAGCTACAAACGAAACAATGGTACTACAAATTAAATTAACGTTACTACAAACAACTAAAAACGAATTAATGGTACTACAAACGATATTAACATTACTACAAACAGCTACAAACGAAGTAATGGTACTACAAATGAAAGAATGGTACTACAAACGAAATAATGGGTCTACAAACGAAATTAACGTTACTACAAACAGCTACAAACGAAGTAATGGTACTACAAACGAAATTAACGTTACTACAAACAACTACAAACGAAATAATGGTACTACAAACGAAGTATTGGTACTACAAACGAAATTAACGTTACTACAAACAGCTACAATCGAAATAATGGTACCACAAACGAAATTAACGTTACTACAAACAACTACAAACGAAATAATGGTACTACAAACGAATTAATGGTACAACAAACGAAACAATGGTACTACAAACGAAATTAACGTTACTACAAACAACTAAAAACGAAATAATGGTACTACAAACGATATTAACATTACTACAAACAGCTACAAACGAAGTAATGGTACTACAAATGAAAGAATGGTACTACAAACGAAATATTGGGTCTACAAACGAAATTAACGTTACTACAAACAACTACAAACGAAATAATGGTACTACAAACGAAATTAACGTTACTACAAACAACTACAAACAAAATAATGGTACTATAAACGAAATTAACGTTACTACAAACAGCTACAATCGAAATAATGGTACTACAAACGAAATAATGGTACTACAAACGAAGTAACGGTACTACAAACGAAATTAACGTTACTTCAAACGAAGTAATGGTACTACAAACCAAAATTAACGTTACTACAAATGAAATAATGGTACTACAAACGAAACAATGAATGTATGTAGTAAAAATCGTTCTGCAAAAATTCTCGAAAAAAAAATTGTTTTTTTGTTTTACTACAAACGAAAAAAATTGCACTACAAACCACTACTAACTTTTTTCTATACGAATCAAGCGGAAAAAAATTTTTTTACCAACTTCGGGGGATGACATTTTTTTTGTTGTCTGTATTTTTTTTTGGCACTACTACAAACGAAATTAGCTTCACTACTATCTACTACTAACCGAAATCGTTCAAATAAACCTAAAAAAGAACAATTTTTCCAAAGTCGGGTGCCAAGTTCACATAGCCGTAGTTAACCTTATACACCAAACGGGACACATTGTAATTAATACGTTTGTCAAATGTTATAAATGCTGTTCGAGCGTATAAAATTTGTATATTTTTTGTCAAATAAATCGAACAACGTTCAAATTATTAAAAAAAATCATTAACAAACAAATCAAAATATGTTAGGGGTAATTAAAACGTCTTCTATAATTACCTACCTATCAAATATCCTCAGACTCTCATGCAACATATCATCATGATCTTGCAAAGCGAGTCCTCTGGGACGAAGGCATTGTTCCCTTAACAGAGAGCGAACAGTTTCTAAGCTACGTGTCAAAGCTTTGGCCAGCGGTCGCATTGCCGCTGATTCCTCTTCTCGACTCATTATTGATGATCCGGCTGCTAAGCACTGTAACAATAAAAATACAGAGTTTATTTTATTCATATTTATCCTGAGCCATAAAAGGAAATAAGAAGGAAAAGGAAGTCCATGCCCTTTTGTCTGTATGTATGTGCGCGATAATCTTAAAAACTAATGAAAAAATTTAATGTGCTTTTCTTCTGGGAGAATGTGTTGTATTTACATCAGCCCTAGAGCTCCTAAAAAGGAACCGAATATTGACGGTATAAGTGAATCGAGTCAGCAGAAAAACACTGCTTTAGGAGCTTTTAAGGACGTGGACTAAGGAAATGGTTATATGTATGTATATAACTGGTTATAGGTAAAAGTACAAACAAATTTTTGAGGGGAATGCCCCCGAACATGGACATTTTGGCACTGCGTGCATACATTTAAAAGTGCATGGAAATGATAATATTCAAAATAAAACGAAAAATAGAAAACGAATTCGTTTAAAAAATGGATTTGTTATCAAAAAATAGATTTTATTATTATTTTTACATATATATAAATTTTGAAAAGTTACACTTCCTTAATACTTTATCAAAACGATTCAAATATCACTTTTTAAGATTACGATCTTTGCTAATGATATAAAATCAAATAGCTTAAAATTACTATTTTTGTTACGAGTTCCATATTTTTTATGTATTATAAACAAACATATGCATTAATTTGACATGAACTTATTCTTACCTCTGCACCAAACCATAATTGTCCAGCCAAGTTGTCCTGAAGGACGTCTTCAGGGAACTTGACGCGGAAACCTCTCGCTACTCTCTCGTCGCCCAATACTTGATCCATTATCTGGCTGGTTATGTTGAGCACTCTATCCTGGAAGAACAACACAAATCATAAACAATAGTACTACATATAATGTGTTAGATACCTAAGAGCTGGTGCGACAAAAAAAATTAACTAAGTACGAGTATATATTATGCTCAAATTGGGATGACAGTGTATTTGAGCAAATAACGCTGAGAAAAATCAGTAAAGATTTTAAACGAATTTTCAATTATTTAAACAATTTGTTGCTAGAAAACATTGTTTCTGAATTATGGTTTAGATACTAAGAAATAAGAACTATCTGTACAAATAGCAGTTAACTTTTCTCTACGTTTTCTCTACATTAGAAAAATGCATGATATTTTGTACTTTAAATGTACCTTGTAGTCGAAACGTTAATTAAAATTAATAACTTCAAGCTCAAGCAAGAATCAGTACTAATACTATATAATAAATGATTATATAGCTAAACTAGCGACTCACCCTCGCTCCGCTCGGGTTCGCCCATAGTTACGTTTTAACGTTTAGTAGAGATTTTTCAAAGATCAGATATTTTCCCGCAATAAAAAGTATCCTATATATTGACCTGGATATATTATCATACCAAATTTCATCAAAATCCCTCCAGTGGATTTTCCGTGATGCCGTCACAGATTCGGCCTCTGTATCGATAATAATGTCTACTTCAATAAGATGTTCCAATAAATATTAAATGTAGGTACAGATTCGGCTTAGTTACAATTTTATTATATGTATGGATCAACATTGTACGGAAACGTTTGCTCTAGTATAAATAAACACACAACAACCACTAAGATAGCAACAATGTATACCTATATAATATTTATATTTAATGCACGTGTGGACAATGCTCTCTGGTACGATAAATCTCATTAATCATATTATATATTATGACAGTGATAAAACTTATGCAATTTCATATACCTACGTATACATTTCTACTTCAGATCAAATTTCCTATACAAGAGTTAATAATTTTGTTATATGAAACCCTGTTACTTTTTGAAATAGCAAGCTACTATACTTAATACTTTGCGATATTCGAACTGTTGAATACCTAATATGTACAAATAGTGACGTCCTTTCTTAGATATGGCGAAAATAATTTTAATTATTTTACCGTTAAATACCTTTTAAAAGAGAAAATAAAGCGGTTTTTTTCCGTCAAACACTTTTTGAAAGAGAAAATAAGGCGGTTTTTTGTACATAGTATTACCTAACTGCAGTATAGAAGCCTCACGAATATACGGGTGTTATTAACGCGAATGAGATTTAGAGCTTATCTACATATATATGTACATACCTACGTATAAATAAGATTTATATAATTACTTTAAAATAGCGATGCAGTTTAGTGGTCGTAATATACGTATTTACGTAGGCAATAGGCTTACCTACATGCATTGACTAAATCGTTGTAATTATCATTTTAAAAACATTGTTTAGCTATAAAAATCTGGAGTTTATATTTGTATATTATTTGGACGATAAAATTAACAATTAAGTATTACAATAAAATATTTAGAAAGAGTAACATAAAAATGATTTATGTACCTATGTATTCTACTACCAACCCTTATTAAATAGAAATACCTCACTTCCAGGTAAATTTCTAAGAAATTAATTAAATTTCTAAGAAATCTATTGATGACTGTAACCGCCGGCGTGTCCGCGGTCGTTGAGGGATTAGTATTACAAAAAATCAGTTAAATGATTTTCAGACGTCCTCGTTATGCAAGTTAAACGATTTTAGGCTACAGAGTGTGAATAGGACTTACATACATGTACCTATGATATATTATTTTTTATTATATACTTTTTTTACTAATTAGATTTGTTCCATTAACGCCTAATAAACATAACCTTTCTATTGGAGCAGTCGGGTAAAAACTAACAAAAAATGATGTCAGTCCATTGTGCTTGTTATAATACCTATAATCATGTCAGACGATAGAATTACCTCCATATCTTCGACAATCAGCGTAACTAATATTTTATCACAGAACTGACTCATCTATGACTCACAAGTGCAAAACACCACAATTAGTGCGTTTATAAGAGCAGGATATTTTTACCACTACACATTAGAATGTTTCAATTAATCGCTATCTCAATTTTATACAAGGCAGTGCCTGCGACATCTAGTGTTGCAAAAAAACTTTTTTTCTATCGTAAAAAACGCCTTTTTTTCTGAGGCGTTTCTAGGTCGTTTCCGTAAAAGATTAATCTTACTACCATACTTTTTTAGTTGAATAGTACCAAGCTTACAAATGAAAATTCCGACACTGAAAAGGACAAGACTAGTGTAGGTTGCATTGATACTGAAAGTGATACTGACATTGACACAGAGGAAGAATTAGATCTAATTGATTCATTATACTTTTTCGATTTGTAATTTTAGTGATTTCACTAGTAAGAAATTAGAAAACATATTTAAAAAAAAACATTTAATTTTCTATACATTTCTTTTCTGAAAAAAAAATCATAATTAGAAAGAAAAACATGGGTATTAAGTTTTATTCATGTTTTTTTTCAACATAGTGAAAAAAACAGTCGTTTTTTTTCATGTTACATCACTAGCGACATCGCCTGTGTATATTTCTATGTATTTAATTCAGAATTTTTAAAAACAGGCCGCCTCCGCTTTAAATGAGAGCGTAAAACCAATCTTTGGATCTAATCGTCGGATTGTAACAAACTTAATTCTAAGTATTATAAAGTTAAATAGCTCATCAGATCCAGCTTTTCTCCAGATTCGAATGAAAATTATAATAATTGTTTGATTGGTTTCTTTGACATAATACGTATTTTTATAGTTATTTATTTCGAAAAACGATGGATGTACAACTTTTATTGTTATTATATAGGTAATATATAAATATCGACACCAAACCAAGATATTATGATCTAGTCTTCAAATGAAACATTAATTTAAAAAATATTTTACTTACTTAATAGTAGAATACATTTAAAGTTTAATAAAATATAAAATTTATACTAAAATTTTAAATCATATATAATATACCTTAGATATTCATACAAACTTTTATAAATCCGTTGGAATTGCCAATTTAACAAAGTAAAAAGTTTTTGTACTGTCAGTAAAAGCTACTCAGGCCCAAAATAAGGTTATGACTTATGTCACAATGTTCAAGTTTTACATTTACTAAACAAAAAATTTCATTTAACTTATGCCATATATTTTATATCTTGTATTTTATTGGACAGTATAGAAAACTTAACTTGATAATTTATTTTTGGGGCTACTTCCATAATTATAAGTTTGATTTAAATATCATAAATATGCTTTACAAACGACAAACAATACATTTTGACTAAAAAATATTTAAGAAGTGGCTCCATTTTTAATACGTAATTGAAAAGAAGGATAGTAGAGCTGTAATACTGAGTCAAAAAGCTGATGTACATTAAATAATCGTAAAGTTTATGAAATTGACTTGAACTTTATTACGTGTTTCAAACAACATCATAGAAAACATACCTATTTGTTGTTAAATTCTTCATTAATCCAAGTCAAGGTCTACAATAATCGTAGAAAAGTGGCATTTGACATAAATGAATGTAATAACAGGTAAGAATTACAGCTAAAGTCTCGTTTAAGTAAATACAATAATCACTAGCATTGCCTGCGGCTCCGCCCGCGTTCAGATGACCAAAAACCAAATTCTTAGGTTTTACATATTAGTATACTCTTACAGTGCACTTTTTGTATTTTTTCTCAGAAATGAGAAATTTTCCCGCAGTGAAAAGTATCCTATATGTTGACCCGGATAACCAGCTATCATCATACCAAATTTCATCAAAGTCTGTCCAGTGTTTATCTCGTGATGCGGTAACAGACATACAGACAGACAGACAGACAGACCAAAATTCTAAAAACTATAGATTCGGACTCTGTATCGATAATAATATCTATTTCAATTAGATTTTCCAAAAAATATTTTAATGTACAGATTCGACTTAGTTACAATAATTTTATTATAGGTATGTGTATAGATGAAAAAAAACATGTTAAAATATTTAGTAAAATTTATTGATGACCTAAAAAAGTGTCTACGCATATAAAATAAAAACTTTCACATAACACGAATAATTATTCCGAAATATAAGTAATTAGCTATTTTAGATATTGTAAAACAAGAAAATGATGTCATACTTTCTTTTGAATCAAGAAAAGGACTAATTGACCTCGAATCATCATCTTCATGGACCTTTAACTGTCGGGTCACGTTGGAATTGCCGACCACTTCTGACAATATACCTACTCACACGACTGCATCCTCCGCCAATTTGCCGGTTGGCAACGTAACATTGTAACAGTGTTTACTGTTTCCAATATCTACGCCATTATAATGTTATGCGAAGAGTAAATTCGTACTTATTAAGTATACTATATAAACTATTTAAATCTCCTAATTACTGTTTTTTATTATTAAATTTATTTTTTGGGAAACAAAACAAACTTATCCCACGGGAACCGTACATTTTCCGGGATAAAAATATCCTGTGTTATTCCAGACTATAATCTATCTCTGTGCCAAATTTCTTTCTCTTTTACCGTTCAGCCGTTCTGGTGTAAAAGAGTAACAAACATCCATACTCACAAACTTTCACATTTATAATATTATACAATACGGACAACCAATAAAAAGCCATGTTATATACATATATACTTAATACTTATATTGATATTATTTTCTCATAAATAAAGATGTTTGGACATTAACACACAGCACCGTCTAGTTCCATGGTAAGCTGCGAGGCCTGTGTTATGGATACCAGATAGTTGATACACTACACACATATAACTTTAAATACATACATATTATAAATATAAACACCCATGACTGGAGTACAAACATTCGTGCTCATCACACAAATGAATGCTCCCAGCGGGACTCGAACCCGCGACCGCTGGCACAGCAAGTAGGGTCACTACAGACTGAGCCAAACGTGTCGTCTTATAGTACATAGTAGTTAATTTAAATTGACACATACAGAGAACG